TCCTCTTGCGTTTAGCACGAGTCATTGGTCCAACAATGTTTGAGAGTGGATCACGGATGTAAGGATTATTCTTTAAAGCAGCATCTTTAGATCCTCCATTAGCATTCACGACCTCAACTTGCTCGTCCTCTCCATTATTGACAGCAACATGTCCCTCTCTATTAGTGTTTGCTAGATGGTCTCCATCACCAAGTTTACGTGCCAAAGAGTTATCCACAAAGCTTCTTAATTAATGCTCCATCATCAATAAGGATTTTGATTAACTCATTGTTAATATATCCTAACACTACTATCAACCTTCTTGGTTCCTTCTCCTCCTCTTCATTCACTGTCATACATTGATCCCAACAGTAAATGGCATGCAACTGTATTTCAGAAGTTGATTCGATTTCATCACTTAACCAGTTAACCTATTCCAGATCCACATCATCATCCATAATAATCAGGTTGAAATGTTCCAGTTTACACATATGACCTGGTCCCCATGCCCCATTGCATTTCCAACAAAGATTGTTGACTGTCCTGTACTCTTTTTCCTCATGTGATAATCTCTTATAAATTGGTCTGTCAGTCCTTTTAACCCCTTGCGCAGACATCTTACCCCCATCATTGGAAGTCTTGCTTACTGGTGTTGTATAAACCATAGGTTTAGAAGCTAAGGCTAATGTAGTTTCTAGCGTTTTAGTTGCTTCACAGGCTCTTTGCACAGTTCTTGGCTCAACAAACCTCACAAAAAGTTTAAACTCCTCCCTGAGTCCACTTACAAAGCTAGAAATGAAATAAGACTCACTCAGTCTAGGATCAACACATAGAACTCTGGATTTAAATTCTTCAAATTTGTCATAGTATTCCTTCATTGTTCCTTTCGGACTGAACTTATTAAATTCCTCAATAGGATCATCACTATCATCATCATTGAATCTCTTAAGTAATTCAACCTCAAACAGCAACCAATCAGCATTAGGATATACTAATTTAAAGCCTTGATACCACACATATGCAACTCCATTTAAATAGAATTCAACCAAATCTAATTTCTCAGATTCATTCATTTCATACATTCTGAAAAACTTGTGGCACTTCCTTAACCAACTTCGAGTATTATTTCCCAAGAAAACATGCAATTCTAATTAGGTTTAGGTTTTCATTTCTTATGTTGTTTACCCTCACCAAATTCCTGATTATTGTTTACATCCTCACCTCGATTTCGTTGAACAAAATTAGGGCCACAGTTCATAGAATTCCCTAATCCGTTGCCATTCTTAATACCAGAAATCAAAGGAGACAATTGAATTGTAGTATTCTTACCCATACTGCTGGAAGAATCTTAGAAGAACTCCTTAGATCTTTCCACATCTGTAATTCTAGCTTCCAAAGCGTCCAATCTCTCCCGGATACTGTTGTTGATGAGGAAGCTCTTTTTGAACTTTGCATCCTCCACCCTAAGCTGCTGGTAACTTGCTGTTAATTCTTTAAGTTGATCCAGAATTAGCACCATCGACGCCTGCTCGCCGGAATCTATCACCTGATTCGTAGTTTTCTTGGACGCCATAAATCCACACGAGCCAAGGAACACTAAGCTTTGATGATACCAGATGTTATGCTTTAATCAGGAAATAGACTGTATTAAACGGAAATGGAGCTATTCTGTATCAGAAAGGTAACAGATCAGCAAGAAAAACCAAACGGATGGAAGAGCTCCGGTGGTTACAACTGAAAAGAAAGAGTTCACACAATTCTTATAGTTTTTCACTAATCATCTAGAACAATCTAAGCAGATATTTATAGCTTGAAGACAAAATAAACAAAGGGACTTATTAAATGAGACCTGACTCGCATGTGCATGATCCTATTAAATGTAGTAAGTCTCGCGCGACGCCAATACCTTCTATTTTCAAAACCATTTGCCGACTTATTTTTAGCGGGCATTAGAGCTGTCATATGTAGTGGGCTTCATGTATGAAAGCTATTCAATTTACCGTTTTCCTACCCTAACTCAGCCCACCTTTTCTCATCTCTCTATATCTTATTATTTTTCGGTCCATTTTTTTTCCAAAGTAAATTAGTAGAAATTTCACAGTTATAAATCATTCTCTCTTTTCTTTTCTTTTCTTTTTTTGAGAAAAAAAAAAGTAACAAAACCCTCACTCTTCTTGTATTTTTTTTTTATCACTTATCCCTTGTAAGTAACAAGTTCTCCTCTTAAAATTTCTCTTTTACTGAATCAAAGTTATCTTATTTGTTTAACCAAGAAAAACGTTATATGATTTGATCTAGAATTCACATAAAAGTTAAATGGGAAATATGGTGTGTTATAGAGATTATTCGAGTCCGTATCCAGTGTACCCGGGTATACCGTATACCCCCACCAAACACACGCACTACACGCGCTCAATATTTTTCACATTTACATTAAATGCACAAACAAAATTGTTTTCATCCATTTTACTGTTTTCATCCTCACGCACAAACACACACAATTGCTGGTTATCCATAATTTATCCATAAGTTGTAAACTGGTTATCCAGAAGCTGTAAACTGGTTATCCAGAAGGTGTAAACTGGTTATTCACAAGTTGTAAACTAGTTATCCAGAGGTAAAGAAGCAAACAACATGTTACTTGGGGGGCGAAGCCCCCCATGATAAACTAAACGACTCCCGCGGCTACCGGAATCGCAGGTCACCAACCTCCCCTGGCTGCGCCGCCCTGCCGAACACGCCAATTTAGCTAAGATAACCCTTTTTTCGTGTGTGTATAAGGAGAGTGTGTTATTGCGTTAAGAGGGGACACAAATTACTTGTATAAATCCCCCCGTGAAAACGACCCGGCTGCGCCGCCCCCCTGCCGAACACTTTCATAAATAAAATTGTGTATAACTAATTATCCATATTGTCAATATTGGTTATCCAACTGTGTATAACTAATTATCCATATTGCCAACACTGGTTATCCACATTGTGAACACTGGTTGTCCATAGTGTGTAGCTGGTTATCTATAGTGTGCACACTGGTTATCTGGATATGTTTAACTAGGTATCCATAGTGTACACACTGGTTATCCAGCTATGTTTAACTAGTTATCCATAGTGTGCACACCGGTTATCCAGCCATGTTTAACTAGTTATCCATAGTGTGTACACTGGTTATCCACAGAACGTTTAAAAGAAAAGAAAGAAAGATGAATTATCTAGCGAGCTCACACTGTTCTAAGAGAGTAAAGTACACACGCATGGAGGTACACGGTGCCCCCGGGTGTACCCGATAATTTGCCGATTGTTCTATGAAAATTTAGTTTTAAAAATAAAAGGAAATAATTTGAAATTACTGTAATCATCTCAATCAACTATGTTTGTTTTGAAAAAGAGTGAAAAAGTTGTTTTTTTTTTCGAACTCAAAATTTAGTATAAAACTAAATACAAATTCAAGCACTTAAAATTAGAGTCAAAGAAAACACATACATAATAATATTTGGGTTTTATTAGAGCACCTCCGTTGCTCTAATCCTGGTTCCGCGCTGCTCATAATTGCAAACATCTACAGGATGATCCTATCAATTTCATGTGAGTTTGATTCAATTAATTTAAGTTAATTTGGTAAGCATCTGCAATCCTAATAATTCGATCATATCAATCCCAAATTCGATCTTAATCATATATACAATGTCCACAAATCAATAATGTCAAGGCTCATGCTAACTAAGGTTGGTATTTTTGGAGAGTTTGCTAAAGAAGAAAAAACTAAAATGGAAGTCGGCTACAATGTTTTAGATAAGAGCCACAAAAGTTTAGAGTGGCCTTTAATCATTCAATACCAAAAAGGAAATCGTTGGCAAAGCAATCTGAAATTCTGACCAAGATTTATTTGAATATGGCTAACTCATTCATTGACTGTGCGTATACATATGTGTATAAATCAATCCAAATACATCTTTTCCGAATACAGAATTCGTAAAACCATTTTAAGTAAGCAAATATCATTAGAGTAATTTTTTTACTCCCTCCGCCCTGAAAAAAAAATTCCACATTGAGTTTTGAGTTTTGTACTGTTTTTAGTACAAATTTAAAAACTCAATGTGGACTTTTTTTTTTTTGGACGGAGGTAGTATTTGATTATGATGAATTTTTTGGATGGTAACCATATTATAACAACTATTTATCCTTTGCCGACTACTTTTGGTTGCATTCCGAACTAAAAAGCTTCGGGAGATTTTTATTTTTTTAAAAAAAATAAAAATTCCGTGCACCTGTATGAGAGCACAAAGTAGCTAGATATACACGTATGATATGACAAAAATGGCAAGAGGAGTATAGCATAATTAATATTTTTACGCAGTACGTAAAGTACTTAATTTATCACTAGCAGAATGTGCAAAATTTTGACACGGTCGATATTGGCTTTGGGATAGAATCCATTTGAGCATACCAAATCATTCTCATATAAATGCATCTTAAATATTCTTATATGTGATGTGATGGTAAATTCGTGGAATAACCACCAACTTTAACTTTATTTTTCCCCCAAAGTTGGAGAATTCATTCCGAAAATTACGATAAGAAATATTACCATAAATCAAGGAATTTCACGGTTTGAATTTTACATTTTTCATCTATCCAAGTGTTCACGGCTCAACGGCGATATATATAGATTGCAATATGCCAAAAGAAGAAACATTGCTATAGTAACTGGCTGCCCTATGCTCATAAGAGGACAATATTGAAATAATTTGGGTTGGGAAAATGTCATTTTCAAAAAAATAAAAATAAAAACAAAAACTGAACGTTTGCATGATATGAATTCAGCCACACAAATGAAACTCCTCAAACACATCAACTTCAGGGCTTGAGCCATGTGGAGAATCAAGTGATGATGCAATAACTACAAATTCCAACCTTTCATTCTTTAAAAAATTTGTATTCTCTGCCCAATCCATCCCATGTATATTTATTGATTCTCATATCACTAAAAACTTGGTTGATATACATATATATATATATATATATATATATATATATATATATATATATCCTCACTTGGCCTCCCTTTTTTCATTCATTCATTCATTCTTTCTTTCTTTTTCTTTCCTCCTCCCTTTTCAGTCACCAACCAAAAATGGTAACTCATTATAGCAAATTAATTAGCAACTTACAAGTTCCAAGTACTTCTTTGTTCTTTCATTGAAGTTGATGAGAATGAAACATGATGAATTTTGTACTTAAATTTCAACTTCATTCTTGTTGTTTTCAACAGGTTATGGTTCATGACAATGATGATAAAGATGGTACGGATTTGGTGGATTTTCGTGGAAATCCAGTTGATAAATCAAAAACTGGTGGATGGCTTGCAGCAGGCCTCATCTTAGGTGCTTGATTAATTGTTTTCTTGTTGTTGTGTGTACTAATCGCGTTTTGAGCAGTACTCTCTCCGTCTCATAATTATTGTCCAGTTTGGATTTTCATTTTTAGTCCAAATTGTACTAGAAGTGGTAATTTCAAATTGGACAATAATTTTGGGACAGATGGAGTATACGTTTCTAATCAACTCACAACCTTTTATAAGTATCGCGTACTAATCATGTCTCGAAAAACTAAACGTTACCTTTTGTGTTATTTTGTGTGGAATATTTAGGAAGCGAGCTATCAGAGAGGATAGTTGTGATGGGAATATCCATGAATTTGGTGACATATTTGGTGGGAATTCTGCATCTTTCGTCTTCAAAATCAGCAAACACAGTGAGCAACTTCATGGGTGTTCTCAATCTTCTTGGCCTTCTTGGTGGCTTCTTGGCTGATGCTAGGCTTGGCCGTTTCCTCACCGTTGCAATCTCTGCTTCCGTTTGTGCCTTGGTAATAATTTTATTAATTAATTCCTTTATATATGAATTCAATTTGTTAAACTTGATGGACCTTTAAGGTGACCACGTAATGATTTTAATTTTATTGTACCCCCCCAAAAAAAAATAAAAATTCTAAACTTCTTCGTAACGTTTTTTTTGGCAGGAATTCCAAACTTATTTAATGATGATTTTTTTTTAATTTTTAATTTTTTTTTGCAAGAAATACAACAAGAGGATGCTAAGACTAATTAATTTTACTTCTTAAGTCCCAAATAAATATTGAACTTGGTTAAATTTAAAATATTGGAGGATTACTTCTCCGTTTTAAAATTAAGTTATATGTTTTGTTGAATTAAAATCAAGATTATGTCATTAGATTTTTATTCACGACGGAAAAGAATATTTTAATTTTTGGAACCGACTATATGAAAATACAATATATAGACTTTACTTAACGTGCAATAACTTAGAAGCAAACCTGAGATACGAGAAAAGTAGAAAAAGGAAATTGGAAAGAATGATTGGAGTATTTTGTAATTGTAATTGTCGGCAGGGTTTTGAAACTTTTGGATATGTTTTTGATGAGATTTTCATTTTTCTTCTCCTTTCATTTCTTGCCCTTTCCGTGCTGCTTCCTTATATATAACGGTTGCGTGAGCTTACAGAAATCTACCACCGACTTAAATGAATATCATGTTTTTGAACTTCACTTTTAATTTAATTATTTTTGAAACGTAATTAGATGGCATTTTATCAATATATTTGATCCATATTTTCTATTCATTATTATTTGAGAGCTGTCGATGAAATAATAATGTGGGTGTTCTTATAAAATTAAAAGGTTTCAAAAATTTTAACAATAAATAAATATAAGATGAATTACATTTTCCACCCCAACATATACACAATATATATTTTTTTTCTCTACAAATTTAGTATCTTTCCATCATGTACAAGACCATGACGTATGGAAATGTTACATTGTCTTGATAAATTTAGATAAATCCTGAAAATGGACAAAATTGTAAGAAAATTGATTTATGCATCAATTCCCACACTTTACACTTTTCGGCTAACAACATAATGAAAATACGAATTTGTACTTCCACCCTCTCACATGGCATTAGGCCAAATGGTGTGCAACGCTCTTGTGTGTGGTCCATTCCCAACCACCGTTCAGTTCCGAATTTGTCCATATACACATCATTTTCCTTTCAATTCTTAGCTATATAAATATTTATTTTTAAAAAAAAACCTTGTTCCAAATCAAAATATTAGTTCATATGATTTAATTTGTCGGACTGAAAGAACACAATAAAATGAATTGTTCATGTGACGTGAGAGTAAAACATAGTTTGAACTGAATAATCTTATTTGTTTGTTAACTATATATGGATCATATCCACATCCATCAACTCCATCTATCCCTTAATAACAGTCAATCTTCTAAAAACTAAACGAACTAATTACTGTTAGAATTTCGACAGTCATTATGGGACGGTGAAAATATATAATTTCAATTACCAAATTTTATTTTAGACGTTACACTATATCACTTCAGTGATGATCCAGTTTATATAAAATAGTCGTAAAAATTAGAGGAATGCAGCGAAAATGATCGGGTTTTTTTTTTGCTGCAAAGGAAAATGATCGGTTTTTTTTTTTGTTTGTTGTAATCAGGGAGTTATATTGTTGACACTGACCACATCACTTCCAAGTATGAGACCTCCTCCATGCCCTCAAGCCTCTGACCCAAGGAAGCAGCAATGCATTGAGGCCAACGGCGGCCAGCTCGCAATGCTCTACATTTCTCTCTACACCATAGCCTTAGGCGGTGGAGGGATCAAATCGAACGTTTCGGGTTTCGGGTCGGACCAATTCGACACATCGAACCCAGTGGAGGAGAAAAAAATGGTGTATTTCTTCAACAGGTTCTACTTCTGCATCAGCATGGGATCACTCTTTGCTGTCACAGTTTTGGTTTACATTCAAGACAATGTTGGAAGAGGGTATGGGTATGGTATATCAGCTGGAACAATGGTGATTGCAGTTACTGTTTTGCTCTGTGGGAGAAGTTTGTATAGGTACAAGAATCCTCAGGGGAGCCCATTAACTGTCATTTACAGAGTTGTTTTATTGGCTTTCAAGAAGAAGAATCTCCCTCTTCCTGCAAAGCCAAGTATGTTGAATGGTTTCCATGATTCAAGAGTTCCACACACAGAAATATTCAGGTAAAGGGTTTTTTTTTTAAAAATTTTTTATTTGCTCTGTTTCCCCTGTTCTTGGAAAATCAGTCATGTTTGCTGTACTAATTGTTGTTACATTGATTTCTCTCAGGTGGATTGAAAAGGCAGCCATACTCGAGGAAGACGGCGATTCGGCCGCGAAAGAAAGCCAGAAGAACAATAGTTGGAGAGTTTCAACTGTGACAGAAGTAGAAGAAGTGAAGATGGTACTAAAGCTGATGCCAATTTGGGCAACATCTATACTCTTCTGGACAGTGTATTCTCAGATGAATACCTTCACCATTGAGCAAGCCACCTTCATGGACCGAAAACTCGGAAACTTTAATGTTCCAGCAGGATCAATGTCCTTCTTCCTGTTCATCACAATTATCCTGTTTACATCCCTGAATGAGAGAGTTGTCGTCCCAATCGCGCGAAAATTCACGCACAACGTTAAGGGAATCACGAGCTTGCAGCGCGCCGGGATTGGACTAATATTCTCAATTGTTGGTATGTTGGCAGCAGGAATTGTGGAGAAGAAAAGAAGGGAAGTCTACATTGCTGATCAGCCTCCTAAAAAACTCAGTGCATTCTGGTTAGTCCCTCAGTTCTTCCTTGTCGGTGCAGGGGAAGCGTTCGCCTATGTCGGCCAGCTCGAGTTTTTCATCAGGGAGGCGCCGGAAAGGATGAAATCCTTGAGTACAGGACTGTTTCTCACAACCCTTTCAATGGGGTATTTCTTGAGCAGCTTGCTGGTTACTTTGGTGAACAAGGTGACAAGAAGTTGGCTTAGGAGCAATCTCAACAGAGCTAAGCTGGAGAATTTTTATTGGATGTTGGCTATCATGGGAGTGGTGAACTTCATGGCTTTTCTTTTCTTTGCAATGAGGCATCAATATAAGGTGCAAAATTATTATGGTCCTAATAATAATGGACAACAACAGGAGTTAGAGAATTGGAAAGAAGACACATCTGAGTTAAAAGAAAGTAAAATAGATATAGGCTTGCAAGAATAGGACTTTTTTAGAAATTCTTTTGGGACGCTTGATAGAACCAGTGTGGTTAACTGGTTCAATAGTGTGATATCGAGCAGTTAGTACTTTATGGGTCGTTTTGATGATCCATAAGTGTGGTCTGCTGTTATGTAAAGAAAAATTTAAACTTCAGGATTGTTGTTATTGAATTAGCCTAAAAGTGTGTTGAGAAAGGTTTCTTCATTGAATTGATGTGAATGTAATTTTTTGCAACTCACAATCGAGCACATTTTTTGTAAAATATAAATTTCACCATTGGTCTACTCTGCTAAAGCTTGTCGATCCATTCGACATTTTCGGATTTTCCAGCCATCATCTTATGTTCAAATTCCTTTATTTTGGTGATCGTTAAAGTAGATAACCAGAGCCTTGTTGCGATGGTTAAAAGTCAGATGACGGTGTTTTAGATTAATACAGGACTTGTTGGAGGGATAAGACAACTTTTGGAGCGAGAATGGTTCTTTGAGTTTTGGCATGAATTTCGTGAAGCTAATTTCGTAACAGATTACCCGGTTTCGTTAGCAGCTCAACGACTAGGAGGATGAAATGGTTAGAGGCTCGTCTATCGTAAGTTAATACCGTGACTCCATCATGATGTTATAGGAATTTCATATATATGGTAATGTAATCATCTAGTTATCAGTATCAGGCGTGAACCTCTTTTCATTGTTAAAAAAAAAAAAAAAAAACCCTTTATTATTCCCAAAAAACAGATTTGGGTACTAAAATGGATTATTAATTTTACAAACTCTTTTTTGTAAGGAAAAAGAAAGGAGGAAGTAGTAAAGTCCACAAATTCTCATCTTAATTTAGGGAAAGAAATTAACCCCTTTCTCAAGTCTCACAACAAACTATATACGCACTTCTTTCGTGACACTCCGAACTATTTCTCCATTCTTTAAGGATCTCAGTACTGCAAAAAACATTACTCACGCAAAACAACAAACATCTGTTGATCAATTGCGTAGAGAAATCAAACGATTCGTTCATGGCTACTCCAGGACGTGAAGCTGCGACGTACAGCGAAGTGCAATCCAGCCGCCTCAACGTAACCCTCCCATTGCCTTCAGTACTCAAGGCTCCTTTCAGTGTTGTTGACGGCCCCCCCAGTTCGTCCGCTGGAAATCCTGGTTTGTGATTTAATTGCGGATTCATCGTAATTGTGTTTCGATTCATGACTTTTAATTGCATGCATGAAAGACATGACATGATTTGCGCCTTCATGATTTGTGTGGAGTAACAATTTCCCGTTGTTCGTGCCCTGATCTGTGAATTTCATGCATGTAGAGACTTTGGGGAATTCTCCGATGGAATATTGAGTTCACAAATTTAGGGAACTTTGATTCTTTGCTGTTTTCGATGTGTAATTAGACGTATAAGATCTTTTTTAAGACAATTCCTCCTTAGGATTTCAAACGAATCGATAAGGACGATAATGTTACAGCAAGAATAACAGGGGAAGTGTTGAATTAAGAAAAAATTTGTTTCAGGTGCTACAAATGTTCACAACTTAGAGGTTAATGGAGTTACTTTGTTGTTTATGTGAGAAGGTGTCAAAGTTCCTTTCCAATGTTCACTGTCCAATTAAAGTAGATCAGTGTGGCATTGTGTCTTGATGATTCGTGTTTGTCTGAACGTTTCGTGAACGTAACGTTTTTCTTTGCCATAAGTGCTCACATTGGCGGCCTAAAGGAATCGGAAAGTGCATATATAGTAACTAGTCCTTGGGGAGTTTTTCAGAGTTGAAAAGGGGATCATTGAGAAAAACTACAGTGCAATGATAAGATTGAGCTCAACTTGGGAAACTGAAAGATCTGTGATTTATGTTAAGCTTGATTTCAGCAATATAATGGGCATGTCTGGTTGCACACTGCAGGTGAAATTGAAAAGCTGTTTCCGAACCTTTTTGGGCAGCCCTCAGTTAAGCTTTTACCTAGTGATTCATCCGGGGCTCTGTCATCAGATCAAAGCTTAAGAATTGGTGTAGTGCTCTCCGGTGGACAGGCTCCTGGGGGGCATAATGTTATTTGCGGAATTTTCGGTAATTTTGTTATAGTTCCACTGCTTGTCCTTTGTATCTTAACAGGTTAACTGAGATTGACATTATCTATTCAATGTGATACCTGCCTGACATAATAGGCAAATTGTCCTTTTCAATGCTTGTCTACAGACTATTTGCAAGAGCGAACAAAGGGTAGCACACTCTACGGTTTCAGGGGTGGCCCAGCTGGGATTATGAAGTGCAAATATGTGCAGCTAACCACAGACTTTATCTATCCTTACAGAAATCAAGTAAGATGATTGTTGTAGTGGTATTCTTTCCACTAAAATTTAGATACATATCTTTCATAATCTGGTAGCTCTAGTTCTATTGATACGCAGTTCATGGTTTTGACTGTCGAAGAAAGAACTTGGTCTTTTACTTGTATAATAAATGTGTTTGTTATCGCATTTTGTTCACTATTCAAGGTTTCAAATCAGTTCATCATCAATCACTTTCAATAATTTTGATATTTGTGTCTTGAGACCCATAGAGACAGTATCTCTCTAGGAATATTGCCTCAATTATGAATTGCCATTTATATGTGGGGTTTAAATGGCAAGCTTAGATAATTTTACTAATATTAACCATCCTTTGGTTATGCAACTTCTGATGATGTCGTATTTACATGAACAGGGTGGCTTTGATATGATCTGCAGTGGCAGGGACAAGATTGAAACTCCAGAACAGGCTAGTTGAGCTGATTATAATCATATAACAAGTGGATACTGTTGTCGATTATATTCGATGAAATTTTGAGAATTTACTAATTTGTCATATGTTGACTAACTTTCAGTTCAAGCAAGCTGAAGAAACAGCAGTGAAACTCAATCTGGATGGTCTTGTAGTTATTGGGGGAGATGATTCAAACACAAATGCTTGTCTTCTTGCTGAAAATTTCAGGTAGGTTATTTCTCTTTAGTATATCATGGTTTAACACCACTTTATAATAAGTTGCCTCATGAATGCCGTTTATCCAACGAAGGGGAAAAAATTTAAAGACTCGGGTTATTGGTTGCCCAAAGACCATTGATGGTGACTTGAAATGCAAAGAAGTTCCAACAAGTTTTGGATTTGACACAGCTTGCAAGGTTTGTATTTCTATTTGCATTATGTTACTAACTTTGAATCTGTTATGTATTTTCTTAATTAGATTATAATGAAAGAATCTCTTTCGTGCCATCGTTTTTTATATCTTCCTGAGCCAAGTTTAAACAAGATAATTGTTTGAATCTGATGCTTATGTTTTTATGTTGGATAGCCATTAGAAAATCTTTCATCTGCATAATGTTCTACTTAGAATATCCCTCCTCTTTTATGTTCTTTGATCTTTTTTCTTTCTATAGCAAATGAAATAGAATCTGTAGTGAATTTGGTTCAGCTAACAAAGATTTTGATCTGAAAGTTTGTTTTCCTTTTTAATACAGATATATGCAGAAATGATTGGGAATGTCATGATTGATGCTCGTTCAACTGGAAAATACTATCACTGTGAGTACTGTATTGCAAATTTTGGACTTGTTTGACAGCTAGACTTCATTTATACTTCTTAAAATTATTATCAATTTATGAATGCAAAATCTTTATTGCTGTGAAAGATCTCAAAACAATCAGTCAAGGGAAACTTAAAGTCAGTCATTCAAGTTCACAGGCAAGAACTAAAAGGTTTATGAGTCACATGTAATTCTTGAAGCAATCATAAGACATTATCAACAAAGAAAAGAACAAATTAGTGTACGACAGCATCATGCCGACCTCCATTTAATTTGGATATAACTTCCTAGCTTCTACCCTTGTTCTGGATTTCAATAGTAATCTCCTTCAAGAGTGGACGTCAGAATCTTTTCATATGTAGATTTGAGGCAGGTTGTCCAATGATTAATTTCATCAGTGAGAAAAAGTAAATGCAAAACTGAACAGTTTAGTTGGGCGAAAGGGAAAGTATGAAAGGAGCAAATTTAGTTGTGTTATGAGTTGACAAAATGTAAACATGCTTTTAAGAAATTCACTTTCGTGATATTGATGTCAGCCAGTGAACAGATGAATGATGTTTCCCACATGTATCAAATATTATATACAATAATGTTCTGGTCAACCTGTTTCATTCTGGTGCAGTTTGAGAATTGTTAGTTCAGAATTTTCGATTAAATGGAGTGCTCTTGCTAGAGGGCACTTCTCATCTGAGGTTGATTTATCTTTTACAGTTGTGAGACTTATGGGTCGTGCTGCCTCACACATTACGCTGGAATGTGCTTTGCAGACTCACCCAAATATTACTATAATCGGTGAAGAGGTAATCTCTGCTTCTCAGGATTCTTATTTTCCAGATTTGTGGTTGTCCAATATTCTCTCTGATTATATCTGCGAATGAAGGCAGAGATAAATTTCAGCAACAGAGGCTAATTCATTTCAAGTGATAATAGGGAAACTCCAACAGTATCAAATGTCTAACTAGTGTAAGAGGAACCTAATATTTATGCATTCTGATACAAAAAATCCTGGATCTCTGCAGGTTGCAGCCAAGAAACAGACACTGAAGAATGTTACTGATTACATAACAGATGTGATCTGTAAACGGGCAGAACTTGGTTTCAATTATGGAGTTATTCTCATACCCGAAGGTCTTATTGACTTCATTCCAGAGGTAATCACAAAAGAGAAAGAGTTATCATCTTTACACCAGTTGTCCATATGGTATACAGAAAATGGAGAAAAATAAATTCAACTTAAAAGTAGACAAAGATGACCTAAATGCTATGGGGAAAAAAAACAACATCCTTAAATGAAAACATGTATTTTGGTTGAACCCGATGGAAAGATATGCATATGCTTGATATTGCCCGATACCAGAACAGAGGCACAAAGTTTAGCTGTTGTTTTTCTGTATCACTCAAAGGACAGTACTCAGTATAAAGCCTGAGAAAAAAGGTGAAAGAGATTTTCACTTTTTGTTTGATTTATTTTCTTGATTTTCAGGTGCAACAACTGATTTCGGAGCTTAATGAAATTCTAGCTCATGACGTTGTCGATAAGGAAGGAAATTGGAAGAAGAAACTACGAAGCCAATCTCACCAGCTTTTCGAGTTCCTACCACAAGCAATCCAGGAGCAACTTTTACTTGAAAGAGATCCTCATGGAAACGTGCAGGTTTGTATTTCCTGCATTCTTGTTTTCATTATTTGGATACCTTAACTAGTCACTTCAAAGTAGTAGACTCGTTTCCTCTAATAATTTATTATGAACATGCAAGGTTGCAAAAATAGAAACTGAAAAGATGCTTATTGAAATGGTGGAAACTGAACTGGAGCACAGGAGGAGTCAAGGTTCATACAACAAAAAATTCCAAGGCCAATCTCACTTTTTCGGGTAACAAAGCATACTGGATATCATCTTTCCTTGGCTGTGAAAGATTAAATTTTCTTTCTTTATACCTGCAAGTAGATCCTAGTTAATATCGAAATTTGCAGATATGAGGGAAGATGTGGGTTACCTTCAAGCTTTGACTCTAACTACTGCTATGCGTTGGGTTATGGTGCTGGAGCACTTCTTCATTCTGGAAAAACTGGTTTGATTTCTTCGGTTAGTGCTCGCTTTGCCTCTCCTCTTGTTAACATTTTCATAAGCATCATTTTGCAACTCCCCCATGACCAAATTACAGAAACTCTCATGGACTGTAAAGTTTCAAACTTTTAAACAAGTATCATCTTGTAAACAGGTGGGAAATTTAGGAGCTCCAGTTGAGAATTGGACTGTTGGTGGAACAGCATTAACTTCTCTAATGGATGTTGAAAGAAGACACGGTAAATGAACTTAATTATTCGTTTATCCAAAAAATTCGGCATATCAGTACTTCTCATGATGAGGATTAGAATGTTGAAACTTGTTTTTGGAGATGTTAATGCCATAATTACCATCATTTTGCAGGAAAGTTCAAGCCCGTCATAAAGAAAGCCATGGTAGAACTTGAAGGTATAAATATCCCAAATTAATATCCTTCTTTCCCCGATGAGTTACCATATTAGAAAACTTAAACTTTGGTTGCTTGTTTCATGGTGTACCTGAACTTTATTAACACAACTGTTAAAAAATTCAGGTGCTCCATTCAAGAAGTTTGAATCCGTTCGGGAAGATTGGGCCATGAAGAATCGATATGTCAATCCAGGTACACCGTTACTCTTTATCTTACGATATGGGGTCGGCTTATATCACCATCATGGTTTGTCCATCGTGAATATGCTCAAATTTTACATTCCAGGGGGTAATGAGGTTTTCATTATGCGTTTCAAACTATGTTTTACAGGTCCAGTTCAGTTTGTAGGAAAGACGGCAGACTACATCAATCATACATTGATGCTGGAGCTCGGTGCCCAGGCTTAACCAGAATGCGTGACAAACCATTTTTCACTTAAAAGTTTTGGTTTAATTTTCAACATCTAAGAACATTAGATCAGTTGTGAGCGTTATCTTAGGTGCAACATGTTTTCCTTTTCTAGAATTTTGGAAACGAAATTTGATATAATGCAAGACAACCTTAATTGATCTAGATTGTTTAGTTTACATTCTTTCTTCGAAGAATGCGTATCTAGAGTTAAGCGTATGCTGCCTTTTAACCCTCAAATCCGTCTTTTGTTGAAGAATAGCTAAGCTCATAAAATTAAGGATGTTTTCAGTCATCCTTTGAAGTTTGAAGGGTTTTTATTGGAGAGTAAGTGAATAAGAGTTTTTTGAATTTTTCAAACGTTTCACATTTATGGAGGGAACACTGCGGGAGCGGGAAAGGTTTTCTCTCAATTTGAGCTTTTAGCGCTAGCGGAAAATGGGCAGGACCGTTGTGTTGTCATTTAGTTATGCTACTAGTCATCTGCCAAAAGGAAGAAAGAAAATAATTTTTTTTTTTTAAAAAAAAAAACCAATACAAGTCCAAATAGTAAAAATTCAATAAATTAATAGCGTTGGCGCCATAAAAATTTCATAAGTTTTAGTGAACATTATTTTAATCGATAAATATATTTTATTAATTTAGATATTTTTGTCAATAGAATTAGAAACAAGACACTCAATATTAACCTTACTTATGTATTTATAATCCTATTCTCTTTATTTACGGGTTAGAGAGAAAATCATAGATAAAATTTTCTCATATTTATATTTCAAGAAAAAGAAAAATTCAATAATCTCTTACTTTATTAAATCTTCTTATTTTTTTCTTAGATTTTTTTCGGATATTTTAGATTATTATTATTTTATGATTTTTAGGAGGCATATTTGTATAGGAATTTTCTGAAAAATTATTATCTTAATAATTTATCGATTTTGTTTGATTCGTGTGCTAGTAATAGAGTTGGGATAGGAAAAAAAAATATTTTTCTAGAGTTTATTAATTTACATAGTATTAATTTAGAGAAAACTCTATACACAACATTAATTAATTTAGTTACTGGTACTGTATTAATTTAGCTATAGAAAATGTGGTTGAACTAGTTTACATATTGAAAATGTGGTTGTATTAATGTGATTTATTAGTCACATAAAAATAGTTCAGTTTATTACGATTTGAAGGTTTTAATTTCCAGTTAAAGTTCCATTTAGGTCTGAAAGAAGAGGATTTGTTTTCTCGCACTCTAAAACCTTGAAAAACTGACGTAGAATTGTACACTCCGAAAAAAATTAAAAAAGTAACTAAAATTTAAAACATTTTTTGGGCAATATCTTTACTAAATATAGTACATGTATAAATTTGTAGAGTGAACTATGTAGTTGTTATTTTGTGCTTTAAAAGAATGATACAGATGAAATAGACTCTTTTATGTATTCGAAATTAATTAAAAAAAAAAGAAATACCAATATCAGACTTTCTATTATCAGACTTTTATTGGAGGTCATGAAGCCTCTTTTTAATCTTTTTTTTACAAAAATAATCCTATTCGTATATCTAGGTTAAAGCACACAAAATTTGCAAAAGGAATGCCGGAATGGATCATTTTTCCAAACGAAATTAGTAATTTGAAAGAAAAATGAAGAGGTATATTCAAACGAAATTAAGTAATTTGGAAAAAAAAAAAACAAAACAAAACCGGGAAACAAACCGCCTTTACTCTCACAACAACGTTAACTTTCCGAAACCTACACTCACTAGTATTCCTAAAACTCTATAAATATACCCTTCTCCCAATAACCAGTTCTCACACTTTCTGTCCTGCCTAAATTTTTATTGCGAATTTCAATTCTGCGTTTTCATCAATCTAAGCTTTAGATTGATGCATTGCAGCTTCGTAGGGTTTTTTCGGGTTGACGATTTCAGGTTCGCTACTTCTATTTTAGTTGATTTGCTGGGGTTCGTCGAGTGAGGGAAATTGGGATTTTTTCTTTTTTTTGCGGGATTCTTAACTGATTCATTCATCCATCCATTGCGTTGTTTGGGAATCGAGATTATGCTATTTGGATCTTTCCGGCATTCCGTTCTCCGATGGGCGGCTGAATCAGGGAATTTCCCGGGGTAATTTAGATCTAGGGTTATTGTTCCATCTTTAGATCTGTGCTTCAGTTTGTTAGGAAACTAGTGGGTTTCTAAGATAGAATACTATTATACTGATTAATTCCTCTGTTCACAATTCAGAAATTATTATTCCGTCGGCGGCGCTGTGTTATTCTCTTCTTTAACTCGGTGAAGAAGATATGGAGTTCGAGACTAGGAACAGATCTGTGTTTGATCGTATCGGAGGACCAACACGCCCTCAGTTCTAGAGTCAAACGACTCCTCAAGTCTGTAGTTTCTGGCTCTCTGGCAAGTGCAACCGGAACCACTGTAGGTTTCTCCACCCGGGTTTACCCAAACTACAGCCTTCTTCCAGTGAGGATCACCGCAGGAATAAGTTCACTTACTCTCTGAAGAATGATGCCAGCGTATTTGGAGTTAATGATGTCACCATGAACCCGAAGCAGGTTTTGATTGCTGATGAAAAATCCAGCCCTGTTCTTAAAAGTAAGAATGAGCTTATGAATGCCAGTGTTGTTCCATCATCTGTTACCGAACATAAAAGTGGAAGAATCATAACACTCAAGAAGAGATCAGCGAGCCCTAAAGTTGATGAAAATCATGTGAATCACAAAAAGGTGTTGACTCTTCAGAGATCTAGCCCTGTAGTTCTTCAAAGTAAAAATGTAACTGCTCCATCATCCAACGTTGCTTTGAAGTCTGAAGCTAAAAGTGCCGTGGAAAAGGTGTTGGCCGATGAGAGAATTGGCCCTGTTGTTCAAAGCAAAAGTGTAAAAGTTCCATAATCCAATAGGGCTACAGATTCTGGAGTTAAAAGAGATTCAGAGAATGTGTTGACTGATGAAAGACCTGGCCTTGCTGCACAAAGCAAAAATGTAACAGTTCCATCATCCAATTCTGATTCACAATGTGACGTTAAAAGTGCTATGGGAAAGGTGCTAATCAAGAAGAGATCTCGCCCTGTGGTTCAAAGTATAAATGTGACAGCTCCATCATGCAATAGTGCGACAAATTCTGAAGTTAAAAGTGACAGACCTAGTCCTGCTGTACAAAGCGAAAATGCAAGTGCTTCAAAGGAGAAGTTGGAGCTTGCTGTCCAAAGCAAAAATGTCACAGTTTCATCATCCAACATTATTAAGATAAGTGAAGTTAAAAGCGAGACGCCCGACCCTGTTGTGCAAAGTAACAATGTACCAGTTTCATCATCGAACAGTGGTACGAAGTATGAAGTTAAAAGTGATCCTGCAAATCAGACAATGGTGATGACCACAACAGAGTCTTGCTCTGCTTCTGAGAATACAGGGCTAACACTATGCCAAGATTGGGTTGTTGGTAACTGCCGTCAAGGTGATGACTGCTGGGATTTGCATTCATGGTTTTCTGGCACCGGGTTCTCCTTGCTGGCGAGCCTGGACAAGCACCAAAAGGCTGTCACGGGGATCACACTTCCTTCCGGGTCCGACAGGCTCTTTTCGGGTGATAAGGATGGGTCTGTTTGTGTTTGGGATTGCAACAGTGGCCAATGTTCCGAAACATTGCAACTTGAAAGTGAAATTGGATGCATGATAAGTGAACATCCATGGGTGTTTATTGGGGTCCGAAATGCTATCAAGGCCTGGAACATAGAGGCAAATACCGAATTTGTTATACCAGGTCCTAATGACCTTGTCAATGCCATGGTTGGGGCCGGAGATGTACTATTTGCTGGAGTGGAAGATGGTTCAATAATGGCCTGGAAGTCATGTCCAGAATCAAGTAGTCCCATAATGTTGCCAACTCTGAAGGGTCACACCAATGCAGTGATTTCCCTCACTGTGGGAGGCAATAGGCTTTATTCAGGATCCAAGGATAATACCATAAGAGTTTGGGATCTTAAGACTTTAGAATGTATTGAGACATTGAATGCACACAAGGAATCGGTGACCTCTCTGGCATTCTTTGACAGATACCTGCTCTCAGGATCATTGGACAACAGCTTGAAAGTGTGGGGAACAGCTGAGAATGGAAACTCTCAAGTAATCTATGAGATGAAACAAGAAAGTGGGATTCTGGCTCTACGCCGGATAAACGATGGAGGAAACAAACCAATCTTGCTGTGTTCGTGTGAAGACAAGATTGTTCGGGTGTATGACTTGCCGTCATTTGCAGAAAGGGGCAGAACCTTTTCAAATGGAGAAGTCCATACACTGGAGATTGGCTGTAGAGGTCTATTTTTCAGTGGAGATTCTACAGGGCGAGTATTCGTTTGGAAGTTGGATTGAAAGCTCTTAGGTGTAGATGATTAATACTATTATTCTTGCTGGATTGTCCACTCATTTTGTAAATCTCTTAGAGGGTTTCAAGCAGATGTCATAATGATACTGCTTTTTTACCAGCTGTGAAAATGTAAAGATTGAGACTTTTGCTCCTACTACTTAATGAATATTCATCTTCAAATTTGCAATGCAATTTAGCAGTATCAATTACTGTGTTTCTCACTTCACTGTTTCAAGACACAAAGTTCTTGTTCTTCCCCTTCTAAAAATGTCATTAGACGAGTAAATTACAGGAAACAAAACGAATGCATCTAATAAACTCCACTGCTTTCTCCCATATGGTTTCTCTGGTGTTGGCATTTGGTAGGATGCATATATCAGTTTTTTTTTTTTTTGGGTGTGGAAAACCAGAATTTTAGGTCTCTAAAACTAATATTGATCTTGCAATGCCTATTTCATTTGCTTTTCTTTCTTTCTTTCAAGATGGCACTTTCCAGACCAAATTCAACGTAAATTTTCTTTCTTCTTGAAATTTCGTATCATCAACATTTGTAAATTTACCATCTCTAGTGGAGAAGCTAAATAAAGTAAATCATATGTTCTCAATAGAATCATCATAATAATTCTTATTCCACTTAGGCTATTAATTTTATATTTAGTACTACATCAATTCACGAAATCTTTATTAGAACCTTTTGCCCAATTAGAGTTCTTCGTTTTTATAATTGGATAGTACATTCTTCATTTTGTTTGTTTAGTTGATAAGGTTTCGTCCCCTTCATTTGTATCAGGGAAAACCATACTTCCTTTACATATATACACCCATACATATATAAAGTCCTGTGTTCAAAATCTTTCTGGGGTTTCCCGCCTTTCTGGAAAAATATGAAGTCAAATATAGTGCAATTCGCCCGCAGAGCAGCTTTGCCCCTCACCCGCCATCACTCCCAATTCCCAATTTCGTTTCTTACTCTAAATTCAACCTCTTCTTTCTCTTCAATTACTTCCTCCCCTCCCCCTAATAATAAGCTCTTTGTTGGAGGTACGGACGGTTTTTGAATCATTTTTTGCATACCCTTTTGTTTTCTTTAATGATCGTTTTTGTTTCCTTAATCAGCTAACCCCGGCGAGTTTGTTTGTTTGTTTGTAGGTCTTTCATGGTCAGTGGATGAGAAATCACTTCTGGACGCCTTTTCTTCTTTCGGAGATGTAACTGAAGGTTCGTTTCTTTCTTTTGCGTTTGAAGCGTTTGATGAAATGTCTCAACTGACTGTTGTGAGAACTAGGCAAAGGAATCCGATTTTTATTTTTTTTTTCTTTCCACATAAATCTGTTTCAATTTACCGTCCAAATCAAACAGGAATCCAATATGGAAAGTCCATGATTATTTAATTAGCATCAAATGCATATACTTTTTGAATGGGGACAAGAAATCTCTAGAGAAGTTTTTATGGGTGCTGTAGCTTGGGCTTGATTAGGGTTTCTTTCTTGATATAAGTAGTTGATCCTTATGAACACGTGTGTTTGAAGTCCAGATTTCGTTACAACCATCCATTCAACTACTTCACTATTTTGGGTTTTGAGAAAGAATTTGTAGGCCAATTTCTGTGATAATCAAAGTTTAGAACTTCATCGCGAAAAACCTTAATTGACATCCGATGATTAAGTTGAACTAGTGTAGCTGATAATTCTTCAATTGGGCATCATACTTGAAAGTATTAAACTATGGTGCATATAAACTTTATTTGATGTGGAAACTCCTTTTGGTTATAAAGCTTAAAAAAATAGTATTAGTAACAGCCGTAATTCCCAGTGTTTGTTTTGGAGGTAGCTAACTTGAAGAGGATTTACACTGGAACTTTCTTTCTTTTTTTTTTGGGTGTTGATACTTATTGAATAAAGATATCTGTTCCATTTAAGCTTTCGTTGTATTCTCAGTTGAGCAGTAGAGCTCCAATCGTTTGTTTGTCTTTCTTATAGAGAGTAACTGAGAAACACAAGTGGATCGGAAAGTTTTAGCTGATAATCCTAATTTCACTTACCTTCTAAAAGAGTGTCAAGAACTGATTCAAGATAACTGATGCATAATGGCTGAAGTTTTAGAGAATCTTTATCTTCTTCTTGTTCCCCTGCATTCCACATTAGTTACTGCTTTGTGGGTTTTTGGTCTTCCGAAACTTCTTGTTTAAATTGACCTCTTATATTATAAGAAAGATCCTTCCGGCAAGCATGTTACATTCTGCCATAATAAGCAAAAGAAGTTTTGCTTACATCTTCTGCTCTTGTTTCAGTGAGGATTATGTACGATAAAACGACTGGTAGATCTAGAGGTTTTGGGTTTGTCCATTTCTCAAAAGAGGATGAGGCTGCCTCAGCCAAGGATGCAATGGACGGAAAGGTGAGTAGTCCAATCTGGCATCATACCGAGACCAAACAATTTTTCACATTGTTAGTTTTTACGCGTCATTACCTCACCTCTTTCAGGCATATCTTGGTCGGCCGATGAGGGTTACATTTGCTCTCGACAAGGTTCGTGGTGCTCCTGTTGTAGTCCCTCGCGTTAGGAACAGTGAAACTGAATTTCAGCAGGAATCCTAAGACCATGGGATCTCCCTTTGACCTATGCAACAATATCAGTACGGACATTGAGAAATTTCGCAGAATCTCGCATGTGATTTCTTTCCACGTGATGCAGTTGTTACTTGTTGCTATTGTTTTAGAAGTCATGAATCATGATTACAACTTCTGGTTATTTCTACAGTTAAATTGATTGAGATAGGAAACTGAACCAATAGAGTTGGTTGAGCTTACATTTTGATGATCATGACATACAGACCTAGTATTGAAGAAGAAGAGTTCTTCTGTGCAACGTCGGACTTTTATCTACTTTTCATTATTTGTTCTTTCTGATTTTTAAAAAGAGAAAATCAACCATGTCTATGATCAAGTTGAAAAATTCCTTAAAATAGTAACAATCCTATCAATTGACATCACGGATCTTGCCTCCACGATTTTTGGGTGGAAATTACTTCTGACTCACGAAAATTGCAGATTTTTTCTTCCCAGATTTTGATTTTATAATATGATCATTCGGGGTGCACGCATTCTTAAACTAACATTTATATTCGTGGACATACAAGTTAGTTTTACGATTGGTGAAGTGTATTTGTCATTTGTCAATTCTAGTTTTGTATTCAAATTATAACTGAATCAAATGAGTTACTTTATAATTGTTGACTTTTTATTATTCACTGTATTCCCTCAAAGTCTGACTTTTTTTAATCACAAAGTCACACAAAATTAGAACGTGTTTCTCACTTTTTGTTTCTTCAATTTTAAGAACCGCCTTTTTTTTTCCTTTGTTTTTTCTTAAGACCGCATCTATGTGTGTTTTACTATTTCTTCCTTACAATAAGAGAAAATGATATGATTTTTCTAACTTAGAAGACACATTTTTCATTTCATTTCATGTGACCTTTCGGAACCAGATTTCATACATGTCCCTCCTTTATGTTATGTTCTGGTCTTCTATACATTGTTTGGACATTAATCTGATACACAAAAAAATAAAAATAAATAAAACACCAATGAGGCATCATTCATACATTGTTATATCTGTCTTTTCAAATTTTACATTTTGTACAAATACTTCTAATTTTTTATCTTTCAAGTGAACACCCTGAAACAATGCAATTAAATGTCACTTTCATTAAACAACTAAATTGCATTCAACAAGGTAACCCTAAAACGCCCCTCTCCCTCTCCAACCCTAAAACCCTAAAAAAAAAAAAAAAAATCCATCTTTTCTCCCATCTTTCCACCATGGAAGAATGGAGGAGATAATTTTGTCCTGATCATTACACTTTTTATTGTTGTTTAATTTATTTTCAATAAATGAGATTATAATCTCATCTACTAGTTAGATATGGCGGAGACTTCCTTATGCATGTTCGCTGGTATGGCGGCGACTTCTCTGGTGATGTTTACTAATATGGCGATATTTTTGTCGGTGATGTTTACAGGTACGGCGGCGGGTTCGTTGGAGTTCACTCGTGTGGCTCTAAAAGATTCAGTTATCATAGATTTAGTTGTTAGAGTTTATGATTTGGGAGTTTCAATTTATTTTTAGTGTTGTATCTTTGTTTCGGCACGTGATACAACTATTGCTTGATAGGGTAAATCTATATAGGTTTATCCATATGAAACACAACAAAGCCACTATGATTATGGCCAATTGTAAGTTGTGTTTTTCTGGCTGTATCTTTTCTTATCAATCGCTGCTGAACGGTTCCAGTAAACTAATAAATTTTATTTCTTAAAAAAAAAGGTAAGCCTAAAACAGTAAAATACTTTTAAACTCTAGGAATAATGGTTAAGCGAAGAACACGGAAGGAGATAGATGATTAGGAGAGATTCTAAGCGCGCAATTAATCAACTTCCGGGATAACTGAAATGAATATTTTTAAGCAAAAATGAATCTTCAACTTCAGGAGACAAAACATTGAGCATATGAGCACTGCCTTTTCGGATAACTTTTGTTTCCTGTTTTAATAATACACTGAAGAACAAAATACAGGGTCCATTTAGAAATGGCGAAATGGACATTTATCGTGATTCCCATGACAATGCTTTCAAACAGAGGAAAGAACATGACATGATCCACTTGTCAACTACAATCCAGATCCGAAACATGGGACTTTTAATCATGGATTGGTCTAGAGAACTCTGTAATAAAACAAACACCCACGGAAACAATCAATTGACAACTACTGAAAGCGTTGAGTGATTAATAATTTCATTAAAAGATTACAAAAACTCGAAAATGAATCTGGTCCAAACCCAGGCATTTGCAATAAAAAAATGGCCTTTGGGATCACTGAAGAGCCAAATTTATCCAAATCTAACGTGGAGGAAAATTGATGGGGAAGAAGAAATATAATATTTGTCGTATTCCAAGTGTCTGGGTTGGCACCTTTTACAACATGGAAAAAAAACCCCAATAATTGAAGTACAGTAATAAGAATAATAATTAATGGAGGAGAGGTGGCGAATGGGAATGGGATTGGCTGATGGGATTGATGGCTTATGTCATGGGGACAAATTTAAGTCAAATTGGATCAACCCAACAACAGCAGTTTCTCCAGAATCTGATCCAACCCACAAGAAGGAAAAGAAAAAAAAAAAAACGTTTCTCCACTCCCACCAACTCTTTTTTCCAAGTGTTTCAGATAAGCAAAGCTCTGATCTTGGAGAAAGATTTTGGGAATGGATAATCAAACTGATGATAACAGGTAATAATCCTTTTCTGTTTCTGATTCTGCTTTGTTTACTCGATGGGAGTTTTGGGATTTCATATATTCAATTTAATGTTTGTACTTGGGTGGTTGTTTTTATATGTATATTTTGTTTGGAAGTTAGTAAACTTCTATATCAGAGTGTTCCAAGATAATGGGAGCTCAAAAATGTAATCTTTTTGGGAAGAAATGAAAACGAACTGATTTAGAGTTTGGAACGTTTAGTCTTGGAAGTTCCTTTGATATGAATTTCGGGTTAGCATACTAGTTACTTGTTCTTTTGAATGAGGAATTGAGTTGAAGTGATAATTTCAAAGTCAATTCAGTGCTTTGCCAAACGTTGTGTGATCTAGGTGTTGATTGGAATGATCAGATGTATTTGGACTTATACTGTATTTTGTTTGTATTGTTCTGTCTTCCAGTGAACAGCCTGTTCAAGACCTTCCTGATTCGAATGGGGTGGATGCTAATCAGCTTCATCAGAAGCCTGAAGTTGTCACTCACAATATAATCTTATGGAAGAATGGCTTCACGGTTGATGAGGGTCCATTTCGGGGATTAGATGATCCTGAAAATGCATCATTTTTGGAGGTACTAGTCCTATCCCTAACATTATAACTGACGTGTTTGAGTTTGACGTGAACATTGATGATTAAACCTGGATGTTTGAGAATGTATCATAGCCCGCATCAGCATATTTATCCCTCATGGCCTAAAGGACTAGCCTTGAAGTTGGGTGATTATGCCGAAGGCATAATCTTGAATGCACTGAAAGATTTTGTTTTTCATGTTCAGGCTGTTATTTGATCACTACAGAGTGTAGTCTCAGGTTTTGTTTGCTGCAGAGGGAAACATGGAAGATATATGATTAGGAAAGCCTAGTTTTGCCATTGCTTTGGAGATGCGTTTTTGAGTTTGGAAGAATTATCTTCTTCTCCTGATTTTTATAAACCATTTATTTCAATGCAGAGCATTGGAAAATCAGAATGTCCGAAGGAGCTTCAGCCAACAAAGATGGGCACTGCAGTCTTTGTTAATGTCATAAGAAAGGAAGAATACTACAATGTAAACACCTCTTTCTAATTTGGCAATCATCAAGTTCGTGAACTTTCTCCTTATTTTGATGCTTAATGATTTTTAGGTAATCCTCACTTCGGCTGTTTACTTTTCTAATTAACTTGATCCTGCAGGGTCAAGATTGGTCAACCAATATCATGCCTGTGGAGCCAACTGATGTTTCCCCACCTCTTTCCACAGCCCCAGGCCCGGACACAGATTTGATTGTTGATCCAATGCCATCTTCTACCTCAATGCCATACGCTGTCACTGCTTCATTAAATGATGAGCAAGAACATTCGGAAAATGGTAGAGATCTCGAGAGCAACTCACTACATCAACCCCTCCTCCTGAAGAGGAACAAGACGCTATCTTCCTCTCCGCTAGCCATGGTTGGTGCCAAGGTTTCTTACATAGAGAGCTTAGACTACGAGTAAGAATATACCATGGCTAACCTATAAAACCTCAGTCATTTATGAAGTCTCTTCCACTTGATTTCAAACTCCCAGAAAGTTAATGGAGGAATGTACACATGCAGGATCAATGAAAATGATCTTTTCAAGCATGATTGGAGAAGCAGATCACGGAAACAAGTATTGCAGTATATCTTCTTGAAATGGTTGTTGGCGTTCCTAATAGGTCTTCTGACAGGAACCATAGCCACCCTCATTAATCTGGCAGTCGAAAACATTGCAGGCTACAAACTTCTTGCTGTAGTCAAGTACATCAACAGCGGAAGGTATTACCGTGTACCTGCACTTCACTCATGTTTCTGTCAAATCTGTTCATAAGACCCTACTGGTAAAAGCTTCTTAAGTAAAGTCTCACTCTCCATTGTTTGGCTCTATGCAGGTACCTAATGGGCTTCTTATACTTTGCCGGGGCTAATCTTGGCCTGACGCTTGTGGCAGCTGTTCTCTGCGTGTATTTCGCACCAACTGCAGCAGGACCTGGAATACCTGAGATCAAAGCTTATCTTAATGGGGTTGATACACCTAATATGTATGGTGCTGCACCATTGATTGTCAAGGTTGGAAATCATTCTACTACTGGCATAATTCATTAGAGTTGCTACTTGCATGATTAACAGCTTTGAGTAACTCATTCAAAAGATCAATCTAAGATGGATAGTTTACATTTATTACTTGGTATCTCTTTTTTCTCTAGATAACTACATAAAAGTGGTTGTACCTACTTTTACACTGAATTGTGAACCGCAACAACTGCACAATGTAGCTTCAGCCCACTTTTACTGTTGTTTTGTCAGCTTTACTACTATTGAAGGTTTTAGCATGAGTCAGTTCAGTATAGAAATAGATCTTAATGTCATCATATCATTTAAAGCAGTGTCGTATGGAGGTAGAACATAAATTCAAGTATGACATTGCACAGAAGTACAAAACTATGTTATGCCTGATGCAGAACTGTTAACTTGTTAGAAAGTACTGTAAATCTGAGCTGAATGCTTTGTGATTTCTTTACTACATTTTAGATAATTGGAAGCATTGGAGCTGTTTCTGCTGGCTTAGACCTTGGAAAAGAAGGCCCTTTGGTGCATATTGGTGCCTGCATATCTTCCTTACTAGGACAAGGCGGGACTGAAAATTATCGTATTAAATGGAGATGGCTTCGATACTTTAACAATGATAGAGACATGCGTGATCTCATCACCTGTGGCGCCTCTTCAGGTGTCTGTGCTGCTTTCCGGTCACCAGTTGGTGGTGTTCTGTTTGCTCTTGAGGAGGTTGCGACATGGTGGAGAAGTGCTCTTTTGTGGAGAACATTTTTCAGTACAGCAGTGGTTGTGGTGGTGCTCAGAGCTGTCATCCAAATCTGCAAATTCGGACACTGTGGACTCTTTGGAAAAGGAGGTCTTATAATGTTTGACGTCAGTGGTGTTTCTGTTAGTTATCACCTTGTAGACATCATCCCTGTGGTTATCATTGGTGTCATTGGTGGACTTCTGGGAAGCTTCTACAACCATGTTCTCCATAAGGTCCTCAGGCTTTACAATATGATCAATGAGTAAGTACACTAACTAATTAGCTGAGTTCAGCGTGTATAATGATTGATACAGTGAATTTATTTAGTAAAGTGACTTAATTCTCTCCGTCGATTCTATTCCTAACACGGCACACATGAATACAAACAGCCAAAAATATTCCTTAAAAGCTAATATAAAAAAAGAATTATTGTATCTTGTCCGTTGTGGCACATCAATCATCGAGTCGTTTATTAAGTGGAGTCGGTACTTTATCATTACTAGTTTACTTAGAGAACTAACACCTAATTCCCTTTTCTAATGTTCTAAATATTTTGGGCTTGCGATGCTAACGCTGTGATTGATGCAGGAAAGGAAAACTACATAAACTTGCACTGGCTCTGAGTGTCTCCATCTTCACTTCTGCATGCCTATATGGACTGCCATTCCTTGCTAGGTGTAAGCCGTGTGATCCCAACTTTCCAGATACTTGCCCAACTAATGGAGGAGCTGGAAACTTCAAACAATTCAAATGCCCAGATGGCTACTATAGCGACCTGGCCACTCTTCTGGTGACCACCAATGATGATGCTGTTCGCAACATTTTCTCCCTAAACACCAGAACAGAATTTGATATCTTCTCCCTAACTATCTTCTTTTTCCTGTACTGGATCCTTGGGCTTATAACATTTGGTATTGCGGTTCCTTCAGGGCTCTTCCTCCCTATTATCCTTATGGGTTCTGCATACGGTCGAATGCTAGGCATGGCTATGGGAACATACACTAAAATTGACCAGGGACTATATGCTGTCCTTGGTGCAGCTTCCCTAATGGCGGGTTCCATGCGAATGACTGTTTCTGTTTGTGTCATATTCCTTGAGCTCACTAATAATCTTCTTCTGCTACCCATTACAATGCTAGTTCTTCTGATTGCAAAAACTGTTGGAGACTGTTTCAACCCGAGCATATATGAAATAATACTGGAACTCAAAGGGCTACCTTTCCTGGAATCACATCCTGAGCCCTGGATGAGAAATATCACAGTTGGAGAGCTTGCTGATGCAAAATCTCCTGTTGTAACTCTAAACGGGGTTGAGAAAGTCAGCCGGATAGTGGACGTGCTGAGGAACACAACCCATAATGGCTTCCCTGTGGTGGATAAAGGAACAAAGCCACCAGGGGCAGCTGAAGAACTCCATGGAATTGTGCTGAGAGCTCACCTTCTTTTAGTGCTGAAAAGGAAATGGTTTTTGAAAGAAAGGCGGAGAACAAAGGAGTGGGAAGTGAGGGAGAAATTCAGCTGGGTAGACTTGGCTGAAAGACAGGGACACATTGATGATGTAGCTGTGACAAAGGACGAAATGGAGCTCTTCGTTGATCTGCATCCCCTGACAAATACAACACCTCATACTGTGGTTGAAACCATGTCAGCTGCTAAAGCAATGGTGCAGTTTAGGTCATTGGGACTTCGTCACATGATCATTGTTCCCAAATGTCAGATCACGGGGGTAAGTTCCTTTTTTTCAATTAGTAATTTACTGTCAAAAGTTATCATTTGACTGTTACATTAATCATAAATGATTACGAGGATTGCTTGAGAGAACTTTCTTTAAATAGTACAATTAGGAGTAATAATAGAGAGACAAATAAATAGCACATTTACTGGTAGTTAGCTGTCAGTTGCACATAGGGAAAACCACAAAACAACATTGGTTATATTCCATCTCTTAAAAGAATGACTGTCATTTTGTACGTTGTGTGTCGCAGTAGTCGCTAAACATTTCGAAAAACTCATTCTCTGTATCTCATCTCTTGAATCATAAGATTAGCATGTAGTAAAAATGAGAATAAATGAGTGATGTGGTTGGTTTTGTTGACGATAGGTATCTCCGGTGGTGGGAATCTTGACAAGGCAAGACCTAAGGCCACATAACATATTGAGTGCTTTCCCTCATCTTGTGAAGCCAAAGGGGAGAAAGGCGCATTGAGACAGACTCACGTAAAGCAAAACAGTACTTTCATTCCAATTCTTGGCCAAAGTCATATTTGTTTGTTTGTATTTTTACCTTTCCCTTCATCATTCAATTTTGGATAAGTCCTTTCAGCATCAAAAGGACGTTTGATATAGATTAGATACATCAGCCATAAACGGTAACTAATAAGTCTCTCTATACATCTTACATATCTGTAATCAGTTCTATGTTGGGACGATTCCTCAAGTGAAGGATTAATGTTTCTTACAATTTTTTTTATGTATAGATTGTTTGATACTCTTCCATTTTTTCATATGAAGCGTCTTGTACTCCTGTTTTAATGCTTTCGGTCTCTATAGCAAGAGTCTAGAACTATTTGACTGACTAGAGTAGTGAACTGCTTGTTTCCTAGGGACTGGAATTTCTTTTTTCCTTTATTTTTTGAAGGAATGGACATTATTAAATTGGCGGGAAAATGACCAACGGCCAAAATTTGGGAGGGAGAACCGTTTGGTTTCTTCTTCCCAGCATATATATATTTCTAAAGATATCAGCTTAAACTACAAGACTGGCATTGGCCGAATCACCTAATGCCGGCCAAGCTTAACAACACCAGCTGCAGAGCCCCAGAAATTCTGCAAGTCCTAATTTTTTTGGAAGCATCTAGGTTGTTAGTTTTTCTATTTAAGATGAATGAATCAATGAACCAACCATTCACTTCAAAGCTCATCAAATCCACCATTCGATTCTAATGCCAATACGTCAATCCATCATAGCAATGTTTGAAATTACATTCTTTTCCACTTTTGTCTCTCTGTATACAACTAAGTATCAAAATGTTGTGAAGTGATTTTTCTTCTGTAAAGAGTAAAGACGACTATGCTTTCAGGGATGCAAAACTTTCTATGCTCCCTTCCCACCTGGTAAATTTACCCGTAGGAAGATGTGTTCCAAACTATCAGTATGAAGAAATCATTTCCTAAATCCAACTAAAAAATCATTACTGCTTCACACTATGATACAGCAGCTTCGATAAAATGAATGCTCTTGTATATCACCGTAAAAACAGCTTCATTTGGCTTCCAGGGTTCTGTGGTTTTCTTTTTCTTTTATTTTTTTTTGCGCATTAGACCCCCACCTATATGATAATTTTAGTTAACTAGTTGTAACCATTTCTATGAGCCTTCTGCCATTTCCATGCGATTGATAAACTCTCTTGAAGATTGTATCTTGCTGACCACCCAAGTTCTCGCCTAATTTTGGAGGGATCGCTGAAGACTTCAGCATAATCCCCAGGGCGACGATCCAGGTAATCCACTTTTATGTCCACTCCAGTGGCCTTCTTACAGGCCTCCACAAATTCTTTCACTGAACTACCTGCAAAACCGGACAAGTGTGACGTATTGCAAAAGGAGTCAGGGGCGCACTAAGCACTTGGAAGAGTTGTTGAACAGATTAACATCACATCGGTAAAAAGTTGTACCTTTTCCTGTACCAACATTGTATATTCCGACTTTTCCAGGGGTTGCATTGGCTAGTGCCTTAACATGTGCATCAATCAGATCAGTAACATCGATGTAATCCCTCACACAAGTGCCATCTGCAGTCTTGTAATCCGTCCCTCTAACCTGCGATCATCAGAATAAGCAAGCACAAGGGCTGAGGTTAATAACTACTTGGGAAGCATCAAGAATACTTTAATATTGTTGTAACGCATACCTTAAGTCCAGGAATTATGCCTCTGGCAGCATCAAAACAAGCTCCTGATATCCGACCTTGCTCTCGCAATTCTGGTCTAGGTGCTTCTCCCAGTCTTCCGTCAGGGTCAGAACCAATCACGTTAAAGTACCTGAACATTGCAGTTAAGTAGTTATAGTGTGTTCATTTTGGAGCCCGACAGGGAACAGACACAGATTATTATCCTTGAAGTAAATTAGAAAAAATAGCTGAGATGAAATAAACTGTAGAAACTTATTCTCATTTGATAACTTGAAATGGATTTTCATGTGGTTTTAGATTTATGCTAACAGAAATGATCATTAAAATGCCATCCTAATTTGCTGACTGACGTTAATAATAGTAGAAAAGATCCAAGGTACAGCTATCTCATGATCAGCAGGGCATCAAAGAGAAGTTCAGAACAAACCTTAAAATCATGACAGCCATGTTGGAAGTTTTCGAAAAGTCCAATATAATGTCTTCAGCCATTTTCTTTGCCTTGCCGTAGGGGTTGATAGGGAACTGGGTTTTATAGGATTGGAGGTCAGTTATTTACGTCAAAGGAAACATTTCATGATCAAAGTATACAGACTGGAGGTTTGCCTCGTAACATCTCAGATATTCCAGTCAAAGTTAGCACAAAACGAGAACTATGCCATCTACACTACTAAAAATGGCTTACTTGAGGAGTGTCTTCTGTTATGGGCATTTTGTCAGGCTCTCCATATGTAGCACAAGTGCTGGAATAGATTAGAGTCTTTACTCCATGAGCAGCCATGGCCTTAACTAAGGTCAATGTGTTTGATGTAATATTGTGATAGTATCTGCGCATCATAAATTAGAAGATCATATGAAAAGAAGTGTTCCCAAAAGAATCTGACAGATGCAAGATAATCAGGATTTGCAAAAAGTGCCCCAAGGAATAATTCTGAGTGTGAACCATGAGGAATACATTTAGCCAAAGGTCAGTGTTTTCTTCGAAGTCACTAATGATCCAAAAACAGTTTAGTTTCCCTATAATGTAGTAGAATAAGCAGACTAGTACCTGAGTGGTTCAGCTGTGCTTTCACCAACATATGCAACAGCTGCGAAATGCATTACAGCATCGAAGGCATTCTGTTTGAATATTTTGTCGACCTGATGCATCATCAAATTAAGGAAGAGTACCAAGCATCTTTCATGACTTTCTATTCAGAAGGAAATTGTCACCATTTTTTTAGCATTCGGATCAAGTAAAAATTAGAAATAGTAAAAGAGTTTAGGATACAGCTGCTGCATCTCCCAAATCCGCATAAATGAATTGCAGTCTTCCGGGCTCTGGAAACAGGTCTTGGAGGACTTTCACAGCGCCTAGATTTCCCCGAGAAAGGTTATCCTGCAAGATGAGATCAAAGTTGAGAATTTAGCTAACCTCCAAGTGTAGAAGAAAATGGATCATCCAACTTTGTATCTAAATGGATCATACCACTATTGTCACACGATATGAATCCCTTAAAAGTCGAAGGGTAGCATGAGATCCTATGTATCCTGCCCCTCCAGTTACTAGGACATGTGTTACTCCAGGTTCATGTTCAGAAAACTTCACATTTCAGCAGATCAAATATGCAAATCGTCAGCCAAAACAGAGGGAGACGAGAAGAAAAGAACTGAGAAAAAACAGATAGAAACTAATCTGATAGAAAGCAATACTAAAACTATCAAGTTCATATATAGTCTATCGAATGTGGAACAACAAATAAAGTATGAGATATACCTTGCTGGAGCCACCAAAACCAGGTGATTTCTTGAAAATTATAATGAAAACAGTAATAGCTGCAGCAACCAAAAGAATTCTTCTAGGAGAGGTGCTCTTCCGTCTGGTGTCCATAAAATCCATGCCTGCAAACATGGATGCACATGTTTTAGCCCACAAGTTCCTAACTGGAAACACTCAAAAATCAAGCTTACGCTTCATTTCTTCTTTGCTGTATGTTGTGAGAAATTCAGTCTTTACATGATCAGATGAGAGAAAAAGAAGAGTTTCTTTTTCATGCTTTCTGCATTTCCCTAGAAGGAAGTTGTTTCTCGTGCTGCCGTTACTATAAGAAGCGAAGATTTTTATCATCTGAGGTCATTTGAAATACATGCTTTTGTTCCCATCTTGGACAGTCAAAAACTATCCATTTCTAAACGCATTCACAACCCCCTTTTTTCATCAAAGCATCTTTGTCTTGACCCGAAAAACGTGTCTCATTTGAAATGTGTGAGCTGGGAAATCCAAAGTTAGACTCTTTCTAAACTACGCAAATTGGGAATTTCCCATCCTTTTCATCTTACATAGATTCAAGTCCAAAACACACACTTTCAAGAAATTCCCAACCTAAAAGATTCATCCCACTTCAAATGAAATGGTGTACTTAAAAAAGTGCATTTCAATAAGAGAATACAAACTTCTTAAGGTTCTTCATCAGGCTGATATCATAATTTATCCCAATTACACGATTCAATCTGCTCATTTATTACATTCTGGCATATTCTTAACAACAGGATGGGACCGACCATCACAAAAGTAGTCCTCCAGAGACTTTTACATTTTTTTGCAGTAGTTAAACTACTTCTCCGACTAGTCAAATAAATATGCCTGCAGCAATCTTTGTAGCCCAGAAAGGCCTAAAATTTAAGACAATAAGTGAAAGAACAAGCTAAAGTCACCAACCTCAAAAAAATTTGTCTTGAAACTGTTACGGTGGCTCTGCTACACCTCTTTGATGGTGTCTGTGTGTTTGTGTGTGTGTGTGTGTGTTTTTTTTCTTCCAAACCTGCAACACTCTGCAGATACAAAGAAACAGGTATTTGGTAAAAATGCTTCCTTGTAATCTCATCTGATCAGCTTTCTGAATTAACTAACAGAGCCTTTCTTTATTTATTTCAACAGAATGAAAGGGGCCTTTTCCATGATACACAAAGTCATTTATACATAAATAACAGAGAAGAAATCATGCACAATTCCGAATCATCATCGAAAACAAGAAGCAGAAAATGACATGATGACATGAATTAAATGTACTCCTAGAAAGAGACGGCAAGAACAGAACAAAGAATTTGTATACTGAGGGAAAAGAAGAAAAGTTTTGTTCGGATAAACCAAGGTTATTTTCTGACATTAAATTGCACCGCTCATATTCTCATTGACATGAAAAAGAATCAAGATACCATTTTTCTTTTTTTTTTCATGAACATTGGAATCAATCCCAGAAAACCATAATAACAGAACACAACATATACTACAACAGAAGAAGAAAAGGATCAACACCTGAGACACCATCATCACATATATGTATACATAAAGATTCCAGACTAATGAAACAAAACCAAAACAAAACTTTACGATCGATTTAATGAAAAGGGATCCAAAAAAGATTGAAGATTGATGAAGAAATAAAAAGAAGAAGTGCATTACATGAAAAGAACAAGTGAAGATGGGAACAGAACAGAAGAGAACCGAACCAGGAGGAGAAAAACAACAAAGAACTAGAGAAGGAAGACTAAATAAGATACTCACCAATTAATGGAAGCCTACCATAAATTTTACAATCTGAGTATTAATTGTCAAAAGGGCTATTCAAAGAAACGGAAGAAATACGTAATATAGAGTGAAAGGGAGAATATTTTGATTAAATTCCCCACCAAAAAATAAAACTAAAAAAAGAAAAATGGCTAGGGGGAAAAAAAAAAGTCAAATCTCTGCATGCAGGTACTACTACTCCTACTTGTTTAATGAAAATAATAAATACATTTGTAATGGAAGAAAAGTGGACCATGTTCTACAGAAGTGTTAATTAAAATAGCCATTAACTAAAGCCTCAAAACAAGGTGGCCTAGATCAACACATTTTCTCATTTCGAAACCCAAAAAAAAGGGGAAAAAAAAAATAATTGACGGATGAAGATGAACAGAAATTATTGATCCAAGAATGAAAGAGAAAGAAGAGAGAGTGGGAAGCATGATGGAATTTTCTTTTAGTCCTGGTCTTATGGCTGCTGAAATGGGAAAAAAAAAAAAAAAGATGAAAATTTGAGTAAACCTAAAAAAACACTATACAATTGTGACATTTGGCCACCCTCTAATTTAACTGCCCTTATTTTGTTGATTTTATTTTATCACTGATAATGGTACCTTTTTTTTTTCTAAGTTTGGCCTTAAATTTTTTATGAGTTTTTTGTTTTTTTTTTCCCTTGCCACTTGCTGATAACTACACAAAAGTCTCCTCAATTTCTAGAATTTGATAGGTATACTAATTGACATAAATTGAAAGAATTGGGTTTGATACTTTGATTACGAAATAGATCGATTTTCACATGGTTAATACAGAGAATATCAAAGTCATCTTGGGTTCCCATCTCAAAACCAATTGATAATGAATAGGGTGGTTTTTGACATTTATAAACAGGTGACAGATATTTCACGACACCGATATAGAATTTTTTTCCCAACAGAGCACTTGATAAGTAGACAGATTTAAAAGTTTGTTGACTTATTAAACTTTATAATAAAAATTGATTCTTTGAGTCCTCCCCTTTACCAAATCCCGAAGACTTGTTTCATTAGTTCGTCTCAATGATTCTTCTGGAATGTGTCCAACTGCATATAGTTGCACAGAAAAATAGTTTAAAATTACCACACACACACACACACAAAGAAAAAAAAAGACGAAGAGAAAAAGTCATTCTTGTTTTCAATTCCATTGAATAATTTGATCTGGTACTGATAGAACTGGTGAGGTCAATTGGGTTTTGATCAATTTTCATTTATTATAATTTTTGAAAGGTTGATTATACTAGTAGTATAATTAATTACTCATTCCATTTTGAAATATATGTCATTTTAAAATTTGATGAATTTTTTTAAATATATGTAGTTTTCACAAATCGAAACATATTTGACCACTTTTTACTAATATTACCCTTATATTGGAAATGAAACAGTATTTATAATGAATTTTTATTGATTTATGATAGATTATATAGACAATAAATAAAAATATTTTTATATTTTAATTACATTAATTAATATTTTCTTGGTTTTGATAATTTCTCTATAAAGACATATAAATGGAGGGAGTAGTTACAAAAGTGTGTAAATTAGTTGGATGTCATTTCAGAATTCCATGTACAAATGATTGGGGAAATTTCACCCACCAAGTAATGAAATGAGAAAGAAACACCAAAAAATAAAAGCTCGTGACAGAATTGACTGAATCGATGTCTCGCTTTTCTCATCACTATGTAAAAAGGTTACTCTTAACATATATATATATATATTTTTTAATCGAGACATTGTCAACTGTATCTCGCCGCCCTCCTCTTCTCTACTTTGTTTTTGCTGTCATTAGAATTATTTTTGGTAGGGTTTGGCTCCCGTCGAGATTTACACCTAATTCCTGGTTACAATTTCCCAACATTTTTACTATACTATACCTTGCCGCCGACGAAGGTTAAACCTAATTTGCAGAGAGATAATAATTTCACGCCGTTACTATTCCACTGAGCAAAAATAACAGACAATAGTTGATGGGACTGATTCAGGAGGATTGTAAGTTTATTCAAATGTAAGGACTAATACGATATATGAATAATAAGATTCATGGGACCTAATTTACTCCTTTCACTATTCTTTATCAACACTCAGGTACAGAACTTTCAATGCTGATGGAAGAAAGACAACGAAATGATAAGCAAAGGAACAACACTTTCGAGCACAGAGTTAAAATCAACACCATGACAGCAGAAGAAAAGACAAGGGGAGAGAGACTCGATCATGAAAAGGAATTCATCATTGACAAATTTCAGGTAAAGGTAAAAAATATTTCTGTAATTATTACAACTTTGATGATCACAGAAGTAAATCCCCCTAAATATATAGATCAATAGATGGATACTAACAAAAGCATACACTGAACCCCTTCCCATCTGCAGATTACAAGTAAAAAAAGTCACCTTCATTCACTGTTTTCCTCCCTTGGTGCCTCCCTTGTAAGGGGAAATAATGGGTTTGCCAGTGAACAACAAAATCCTAGCCCTAGGATCACATAAGAAAGTCCATGAGTAAACCTGTACACATTTTAACCTCTGTATTCAGCTCCCATGCAGGATTCTTGAGGTTTGTGAGAGCATGAAAATACGGCCCCCAATATATGAAAAGATGCATTCGATTCTAAACCCTTATAAGATCTGTAAGACATAATACACAGTTGATATAAAATGTTTCATCAGAGTTAGAAGGATACAACTCCAATGTGCGAGTAAGAAGAACAAGAGGGGGAGAAATGGCACCTAGGTGCCAGGGGAAAGGTGAAACAGAAGAACGCTGTGTTGTAACCATTGGCCACAACACACAAATGCCGCATCACCACCATATCTGCTTTGCGGTTGCTAATAATACAGCAAAGCAATCCACATGCATCAGCCAGAGAGAATTGACCTCAATCTCAGCTAATCCCTTTAACTGATTCAGGATTTATTTGACCACTACTTCCGCTATGGGCATTAAATCCGGTGACGGGCATCGAGTTGTTGGCAAAATTAAGCAACATCTTCCTCTGACGTTCGTCTGTATGCGGAAGACTAGCACGCAAGAGCTCCACCGGCATCTCCCTGCTGACAGCTTTTGCAGCCTCTATGCCATCCGGATCTGACTTTGGCTGGTTCTGGGAGTACATTGACTGCACAATACTTTCATACTTGCTCACACTATACTTGGTGAGGAGACCAAAGAAGGCATCAAATGATGCCTGCCACAGTGCAGGATTAGGCATGCCATAGGTGGCAGCAGACTGGGGACCTGATAACAACTGAGTAGCCCTTTCCAGGACAGATTTCAATATGACTGAGGCCCCATCACCAGCATTGCTTCCTATTGGTCGCAAAGGGGGCTGCTCAGCAGAACATACCACTGCAGCAAGACAAGCACTCAGAGAATTAAGATCCATCCCACCAACACATGCTGATACTGTTTTTGCAAGAGTGGTAATGGTCTCAGCTGCTTCCGGATCAGAAGGAAGGCCACCAAACAGAAATCTCAAATGGCGGAAGATAGCCATGCAAACTACTCGAGCTAGGTCCGTACCAGGGAATAGAAGTTTAAGGAACTTTGAAATTAGCTTACGACCTTTGGGAAGAGACGCCAAGCGTAGAAACACAATATCATCCTTCGGAGCCAACCGTACAGGGCTACCATTTTTACCAAGTGGGTCAACAAGCTGAAGCGAAGCTGCCAAGCCTTCCAAGAGAAGCATCCTCTTACGTTTGAGCTGAACTCCACCATCTGGGGGCTGACTGAATTTCAAGAGCCTGTCAATGTCATCAACATCAAGCAGAAGATAGAGCCCATCCTCTATTGTAACTCTAGCTGCAACCATAGGTTCTTGTTCTAAAGGCTTATCTGATGATTTTGGTTCTCCCATGCCTTCACCACAAGCTGATGCAGGAGGGTCAACTTCAAGAAGAGGTTGAGGCCTGCGAACAGAGGAGAATGAAACCCTTCCAAGAGCATCTAAATGAAGATGAGGCTGTGATTCTGTACTGGACCGGGACCGAGAAGATGACTCCTTCTGAGCAGGGCAAAAACGTTGTTCTGATCCCAGTTCAGCTGCCTTCTTAGCAAGACGAGCTTGATGATAATAGTCATCCACATATGGGTCGTTACAATGTGTTGCAGCATGTTGCATCTTAAGAATGCTCTCCAGTTCGTCACCAGTCATATACTTGGACCTGAACTGGGGAAAACTACTTTCGCTTCTCTGACTAGCATCTGAACCTTGATGAGAAAAGCGAACACTGTGTTTTCCCTTCTTCGATGATTTAGGCTTTGGATCTCTAATATTAGCTAAACCATACTTATTCATATGTGAAGGTGAAGGAAAACTGCTATACACAGGAGGACGCAAGGCAGAAAAATGAGTAAGAGATGGTTGAACTGATAGATGCAGTCTAGCTTGCAGCTGTTGTTGAGCGGACATTAACTGTGGGGACAACAACCCGTTCTGGAAAGGTAATTGCTGGTTCAAGATACTGTTTAAGACACTAGAAGGAACCCCGTCAAAGATGTTACCATGGCCACCCCACTGGTTTTGGGTTAGCGAGTTATGGTGGATACCAGGTGTACTTAACTGACTCGTGTTTCTACCATATTGAAACCCTTGAGGCAGTCCAGAAAGATGCAGATTACTAGATAAACGAGAGACATTCGATGTTGGATAGGGAGATTGAGACCCACTACCAAGAGATGGAATGTTCAAATTATGTGAGAAGCCATGGGGAGAAGCAGGTTCCAATCTGCCACCAGGAGGAGGAAAGGAAGTGAAAGAGGACTTGGGGACTACAATAGGTTCACTGTTGTGGTGGTGCAGCTGCGGTTGCTGCTGAGGATATGATGAAGTTCTTTGCAGTGGTGGTGGTGGAAGAGGATATGATGACGTTCTATACAATGGTTTCCCTGACGAAAGCTGCGGTTGTGAGGACCATCTCTTCCCTTCCTGGTAAGAATCTGTGTCAGACATATGGTCTAACCAGTCAGTATAATCTGTGTCCGGCATCCATTCTGTAACAGATGAACCTGCAGAGATCAATTGGTCAATCAAAACACCAACAAAAGAAAATTAATACACAAAGAAAAGGTGAACATTACAATTGCAAATAATCACAAACAAGAGAGTTATGTACGTTACGCAGGTTCCCAAGATAAAAATCAGACAACAAACGCCATCTTTGTACACTGGGAAGTCTAAAAAATGCAAAGAAGGCGATTTGTAGTCATTTGTGGAAATTACAACATTCCTACAGCATCCTAACGACTTCATCATACTCTTGAGACAAAGTCCACAAGACAAAATCAGGCCGTCACTGAGAATAAAGCACCTCCATAGTAGTCTAACTTTTATCGAATAATTAGAGGCCAGTTAAAGAGCAAAATGGTCTTTCTATCACGTATCAGCCGTAATTAGCAAAGTATGTACCATGGCGCACAGATAAATTCATAAAACTTGCCAGAAATTTAAGGAACTCACAAGTATCACAAGCAAGTTCACTGATGATTAAGGAAATACATTTTAAAAATGTGAGTAATTTTTGGAAGTTGACAATTGCATAAAACTTGTAAAGGTATAATCAGACATATCAATGGTACTGACAAGCACTATAGGTAACATAGTACGAAGTGCTTTACTTTGGAGTTAAAGAAGAATGACTACTTGAAAATTTAACTAAGCATAACACAAAATGTAAACCAACATTTACTTTCTACAATAATATGCACTCACTTTCTCTTGAAAAAGATCCAGATCCTCGATCCCCAATAACTCCTGGATGTCTTGGTCCAGTCACAGCTCTGTTCAACTGCAAACAGCACACACCATTAAAATTAACTGAAATAAACAGCAAAATTATATTTTCCAAATGAGAATATAAGTATAACTTATAGATTCTTCAAGAGGGTCGCCAGCAATTTCCCATATGGGATGCACAACCCCTCTTTTCTGGTTCAAAAAGACTAGAATCAGAAGCAAGCTTCTAGCTCAACTCCCTATTCTAATATCCACTAGATTTCCACTACGCCATATTCTTTCTCTACTGTCCCTTCCCAATTTTCTTTAGATTTAATATATCCATTGTGTTTAAGAATTTTGTGCAAATAACTTTGTGTGGAGTAAAAAGGAAATTAAACAACTGACATAAATGTTTCCACACAAAACCCTGAAAGAGAAAGTCAATCGCAACCCCCAGAATAAGAGGTCAAGCTACAGACTAAAAGAACAGAGAAAACAAAGAAACTAGAACCTAAGCATATGTGGCATGATTATCTACAGGGCTTACCTTGGCAAATGTGGTTGCCAGATCATCCATATCTGATAATGATCCCAAAACCGAACCCTGAGAAAAAAGGGAAAAAACACACACATAAGACCTAAATGAACACTTGGGAAAAGAACTAGTGTAAGGCAACTAAGACAAAGAACCGAAAAACCCAAAAATGAAAGCTACACAGGTTTAAATTTTTATATTAAACACGAGCACAGAGAGAGAACTATTCATTCAATTAATTGCATAAACAATCAGGAGGACCCCATGTCTCCCAGTTTAGCAGCATAAAAAATATGAACAACATCTACCATGTTGCATAATTATTTACAAATTTCTCTTCTGCAGCAATAAAATTATAAGTTCAAAATCATAAATTAACCTCTTGGCAAAGGGAAGTCTACAACATACTACCCATCATAACAAGACCATGCTACCAAAAGACTATATCAACACATCCAACAAAAAAGTCTTCCATTATAGAAGATCACAAACGTAACACAAACCCACAGCTTTTATTGATGATAGTTCCCTGAAGTCTAGATCAAACTAAGCAACAAATTTGAGTGTACAAATTGAACCTCTTATCAACCAGCAAGACGAGGACTTGAAATTATTTTCCAACAACGTGAAAAAGTTACTGATAAAAAAATTAGTAACCATATCTGCTGATCAACTATAAAGGCACTAAATTTATAGTTTAAAGCAAAGCAAATTCGACTACTTTAATATCACACCTTCCTCTCTAACTTGATCACATCACAATCAATAAGCAAAGTGCTGATTTTGTTTTACATTTCAAACATATTTTCATGGAAGGTGACAAAAATGTAGTAACAAAAATTTTGCTAGTTTATTGGACCAAAGGACCTACATTACACCCTTGCATTTAAACAAACAATCCTTAGGTTTTAGCATTATCCCAAGCGGGAAACAGCACAATTCAAATGAGAAGAAAAAAACAAGCAATTGAATGTGACTCTGGCACCATTAAAAAAACAAAAAATGATAGTCAGCTCTTAGATTTTAGTAACAAACAATGCAACCCCTTAAGTCCCAATTTGAACATCCAATTTCAAATTAATACAGCTGATACAACCATTCCGAGACAGGTTAGGAGGTGACGCAAAACACAAGGGCTTACAGTAAAGGGCTAATGTTACCCAATACCTCATCCTTTTCAAATAAATGGTACTCATGCAATTCATCATCGCCTCCACCGCCAAAACCCCCAAGCACAGGAATGCTGCCGCTATCATCGTCCTCGTCTAGACCCCCCAAGTCTACTTCCTCCATGATGTCTTTACCGAAAAAGGCATACTGGGATGCATCAAAACACGCACTTTCTGCAACATAACATGAGCAATTGCCAAGAAGATAATCCATATCAGTCTTTGCCCACAAGAATATCAATCTTTGCAAGTGGGATATAAACTATTAAACAAGTAGTTCACAAAAACCACCAATACAATCTTTTATCCAAATTCAACTGAGATCCAAGCTTTTTTTCAATCACCAAAATCAAAAATTTAACTCCCAACTCTTTTTTTTTTCTTTCTTAGAGGGCCATGAATTTGAACAACGCAAATTTGCAAGAAGTTCTTATCTTTTTTTTCCCTGTGTCAATCAACTAAAACGAGCAAAGTAAAAAAAAAAAAAGGTATCGAGGTGGAAATGAGCTGACCTGAGTTCGAAACACCAGCAGCGGAGGATGTAGAAGAAGGAGAGGGCAGTCGGGAGAAGTCCCTACTGCCGTTGGATCTCTCCATTAAAGAGAACAACAAAAAAATCACAAACCCACAGAAAACAAAACCCAATTCAAAGAATCAATTGGGTCGTGAAATAAGAAAACCCTAGATCAAAAGACTAAAAACCCTCAATTCCAAACCACAAAGACGCCCCGCCCACATTCATTAGAATCGGTGAACACACATACAGACACTGTAAATCTGTATGGCCAGAAAAAAGCAAGCAAGCAGAAAGAAGTAGATTGCAGCCTACGCTTCCAACAAGAACAGGGGAAGCTGAAAAATTGGCAAAGAAATGGCGATGGAAGAGGGGAAACAGTAAGAATATCGGGGAATTTGGGGGCAAATTGATTAGGGTTTTTGAGTGAATCGGTGGAGTTGTTTATATATTGTTGTTGAGAAGAAGAAGAAGAAAGAAACACAGAATGGAAGCAATGAGAGAGCGGTGGGAGAAAGAGAGAGAAATAAGGAAGGGTGTGTTTTTTGCCTTCTATATATATCATCTCATTTTTTATTTTATTTTATTTTTTTGAGAAACCGAAATTGATGATAAATGGCACCAATTTTTGTCTAATATTTATTTGTTTTCACAAATATGTGAAAATAAACAAGTTGTGATTCCATATATATTTTAACTCGCTTTCATATTTTTGGAGATTATTTTATATGATTTTTCTTACCGTATTTAAATCGATATCACTATTTCGGTGACACGGTTTAACTAATTCTAAAAGGGGAAAAATAAGTTCTATTGAAAAAGTTCTAATATGATAATTAATTTCATAACATATTATGGTTTTTTTAAAAAAATTCATAATAATAAGAAAGATAAGGAATTCTTTGAGAGTTTGTCTTGTCACGCAAGACGCGATTGAGGCTTCATATTTTATATCACTCTATTCTAAAATAATTATTCAGTTTAAAGTTATTTTCGTTACAGTATATGCTAAAAATGAAAAAGTCTTGTATTTGAAAGAAAAATAGAAATTAAATTTATCACAGTTCTTTTCTCTTAAAGAAAATATAGATTTCACCATGTGAGGAGAAATTCATTGTGTGTTATCATATACATAATTACTCCCTCCGTCTCATAATTATTGTCCACTTTGCCCACAAAATTTTTTCCTAAAATTATTGTCCAATTTGACTTTTTATGGATCAAGTTATACATTTGTCCTTAGTAAAAAACATTATCCATAAAATCTTAGTGGTTAAACAATTACTTATGTAGGGGTATATCCGGTTGTTTAAGGCAAAATATAGTTAAGTTTGACCAAAACTAAAATTTTTTATTTTAGTAAAACTGGACAATAATTATGGGACGGAAGGAGTATTTTAATATAAATTTATCAAAATTTACGGTATTCTTTGCTTGCAAGACTATTTTACAAAAAAAATAGATTTTATTGACAATACAGTAATAAGTATATGATTTTTCTCATTAAATAATATTGAATTATTTCATTTAATGGTTTATACTCATTTTATAAATGGTTTTTTATTTGATGTATACAAGAAACGAGAAAAAAAGTGACAAGTAAAAATTGATCTGGTAAATAAATTTAAGAACGCTAAACCCCTTTTTTTCCTAATCAACAATATACATACACCTATATTTGTTCACCAATACCACAATGGAATATAAGGGATATTCGGGGACGGAAAATTGGTTCTTCATGATTTTGTTCAAAGTTAAATTTGGCATTATTTTGGTTACTCTTTTTATGTTGTAAAATTGGCAATGATATGTATTTTAGCCAATGCCTTATTTTTAACTCCAGCCTGTTAAAATGTATATAAGTACGCAATATAAATGGTTGGAGAACGTAATAAAGAAGGTATTCCATTTTTAGTTTACAAATATGAGGGATGATAGCAATATATTCAATATTCTATGTATATATAAATTAATGGTTATAATAGTAATAAATCACCTCTTTTTATCTTTATCTCTTCTTCTCTTTCTTTTTTTTTCCCCCCTTTGATCCTTTACTTTTATGACATCGTGTTTACAAGAGGAACAAAGTACATCATAACTTCGGAAAAAAAAAAAAGATTTTTGTCTATCTAGTTTTACATTTATGATGTACTCAAGAATGTAATCCTCAAATAAAAGTAGGTATCTTTAGTTGTGATATTGTGACAAAGACAGAATTATATGGACTAAACTTTTACAAAAGCAATTAAGACCATAAATTATGATTTTAATTTGCTTACAAAAAAAAGTGCACGTAACAATTCAGACCATAATTTGATTTATAATCATCAAATAAAGAAGTATGTAACTAGTGAGATTTTGCTTAAAGAAAAATGCTTTGTAATTTAGTTTTTTTTTGTACAAAATTTACTAGTTAAATTGATTAATTTGTGCCTTTAAAAATAAATTTCCAAAGAATAAAAATAATAATTCTGTTTAAGTACAATAAATGTAAATAACCACTACATTGATAAATTTTTTTAAAAAAACTATGCACTTTAAAAAAATTTTGAACTATTTATTTAAGATGCCTTGTAATTAACCATAATTTAATTTATTCAAACTATTAAGGTTGATATTAAGAAAAAACGCAAGAAAAAAGGTCAACAAGTAGCATGAGCCATGAAGTATAAACTATGATGTCTGTATGTATACATTAAGTTTAGAGTTGCGGAACTAGGGTGACAAATTTCGGGGCCTAACAGTGAGTTCATGGCCGGAAAAAGTCGTCGGACAAACATGACGGCAAGTCTACTATGACTACGCCTAAGGAATCTTCCGGCCGTCCGGGGGCTCGGTAAGGATTCCGCCATTAGAGTTGATGAATTAGAAGAAGTTAGGTTAATTATCATTTTGGAAAATGTAAATGTACACCTCTGTTTCAACAAATATGATAATTATTTCGGGATAAAAGGACATAATTACTTTAAGCAAACACAAGTGAGAAACACAAAATCCATTGTTAGAGGGGCAAAATTTATGGTAGGATAAATAATGTTTAGCTAAATTTTCTCAAAATTTTAAACCGAGGAAGTGGCGCCATTTCCTACCTCTAACCACTTTTTCTGGTATGAAAAAATGAATAACGATTATGAAACCCCGAACAATCATTCCTTTGGATTTCGAATTAACCCTATCATCGTAGGTGTTTTGAATATGGATTTTAGCTTCAAAATTAACACAAAAAACGTAACAATATTTAGAAAATAATCACGCAAATTGGATATTAAAAAAAAAACTATTACTAAGAAGTTGGAAAATAGAAAATACGAACTGATTTGGATAAACTACTAGCCATACAGTGAGTGGTTTATATGCATCATATTTACAAATTTGTGATAGGACATAATGTTTAGATAAACTATTAAGATAATTACGAAATCGTATAAAAATAGGATCTTTGAATCGTGAGATCCAACCACTCATTTTGCGAGCTAGCTAGCTACTCAAGTCCAGATTGCTTACGATATTTGTATGCTACTAGCAGTTAGCATTACCTAAAAAGAAAATAATTACAAATTTATAGAGAGGAAAATAAAACTTTAGGACAAATATAATAAACATTTCTTCTTCTTCTTTTGGGTTTTTAGGCATGGGGGTGTTTTAATCAGCAAGCAAAGGCCTTGGTCAATGCTGGCCCATTAATGGCATAACTTAAAAGCACATTCTCGTTGCAAATTTAAAAGAATATACTATTTGGTATATTTTCACAAGGGCACATGCATTGCATTCAATGGGCTTGCGAACATGTGATGGATCTCAATTGATAATTTTACTCAATATCGGGGTAAACATATAATACTAGCAAGGATAATTTTAATTTTAATTTTAATTTTAATTTTATTTTTTTTAAAAAAGGCAAGGATTAGTATCTCGGTTCCAGAAGGTAAATATTTTGTTACATGCAAAGAAAACACAACTTCAAGTATGTGTTTGTTTTCTAATGAAAAGAATACCACTAGTATGGGATGGGAGGATTGGACATATAATTGTGAGATTGAGAAGGGACGGTTATTAGCACGATGTTGAAAGTTCGGTTCTCGTTGGAGCATTAATTTTTTTTTTTAAAGAAAAAAGAATATCACTGCTGCGAAGATTGCCACAATGACGCCGATTTTTTCAAGAAACCTGGTGAATTGTGTTTTTCTCTTCTCTCTATTCACGTTTGGAGTTGTAAGTGTAGACAATGGATTAATGGTATCAAAGCTATCCATCGAGGTAGGTAACCGTTGGCTACATTCATTAAAATGCCGTTATTCATCATATATTCCTTTTGTTCTATGCAAAAAAAAAAAGATGAATAAATGGAACAATTCCAATCGTTATTTAACCAGTCGCTAAAATCATTTTAGTTCTAGCCTTTACGAAGAAATACAATTTTTCCATCTCAAACTTGGAAAAGGGATTTGAAATGCATGCAAAGTCAAGCACAAAATAAACTATTCAACCTTTACATGGAAGGCAAAACTTGATTATGTGCAGATTTGAGTAAAGAGTGCAACTTTATCCAGTGATTTCATTTATATGAGATGACCAGATATCATCCAGCATTTCACACGGTCGTTCTGTACACATACAAGGCACCAATTTGTAAATGTAGCCCAACTATTTAATCATTTGAAGCAGTGCGTAATAAATATACATTGTTAGTGAAATGTACAAACTGCTATGTCGCAGACTCTAGAAAAGCCAGTGCCTCTTTCGCGGCGCTCGACTTGGTACTCCTGTTTAAGAAGCCGAAGCAAGAATGTTTCAGTTCATAGTACTACATATTGCCTTTCGCTGTAGTTTGTTTAAAGATTTCAGGGAAAGGAAGTAGTATATAAAAAGAACAGGCAATCGTCACCTCCAGTTTCATATAAGGAGTTGTAGTGTACTTCGCTCCAAAAGCTTAGCCATATCTCTGTTAAAACAAACAGAATATCAGAGGCGATGTCCTAGGTAAACCGTAATCTACAACTTCAGGATTTGATGGATACTGTTTGATTCTAATGCATACTAGGATAAACCTAACTCCAGAAACTTTGACTATTGACAGCAAGATCCCACATTTCTCACTAAAGAATTTAATCCTCTTTATTCATTCTCACCAGGAAATAAAGGTAACCTAGATATGTTAACCATGCAGAATCTACACACTTTTTTTCGATTACCATCCCCAGTTTGCTTCCATCACTGGGGGAAAGATAACTCAAACAAATTGAATTCACTTTTAGTTGTGGAGAATTAATGTGTTTCTATTTCCTACAAGGAAAAAGCCATTTACAAGAAAACATCGAGTGTCTGAGATTCAGAAACCCATATGAAGATCCAGGAAACTTCAGTGTAAATGACTACAAACCCTAGACCACCATGGAAATAACATTTGTTTTCTGAACATGATTATCTTTTACTAACAAAACAGAACCACCCACAAGACTGTTACTTAACATAACAATCATAGAATAAACGTCAAATGCTTGAACTATGCAAGAAACAGCGATTGTACCTCTGGAAGGATGCTTGTCCTTAGGAAGGATCTCGATATAGCCAGAATCACGGAAAGAGGTGACCAAACAAATCTTTGCTTCAAACTACAAAATCATTCCGAAGCAAACAGTATAAGCAATCAGAATGGAAGTGCCCAGCTATCGAATTAGAAATCAGTCACGCCTTGTTTCGAAAAGTTACATAACAATTCGAGCTAGTCAAACTGAAGTTTACTAGTAATACAAATCATGACGGTAGCATACTCTCAGTTATTCAATACTTTTCTCAATTGGCAATTTTTGAAAGATTCGAAGGGAGTCAGATAGTGAGGTTTATTGACAATATTCCTAAGCATTAAATTTCATGCGGGATGGCCTTTTTTTTTGGGGGGGGGGGGTGAAAAGCAAGATGGCTTTAGCACTATAGAATTTGCATTTTCAAGTAACCAGCCTAACCTCATGCTGAAGCCTCACATTTGCATTTGTTAGAGTCAGAATGTTATGATTTAGGATATTTACGACCCAACACATTGTGCTTTTTGCATACTGCAAATAGTCAACATTCACAAGGCAAGGCCAAGACTATGACTACTTTATTGATGTACAAGATCCCATCATGAGAGCGAGATTACGCAAATATGACTAGCAAAAGCCTGAACCAGGTTCATTTTAAACCCGAAGGGGAAGGGGGGAGGAAAAAGCAAATGAAACAGCAGATGACACATCCCCCAGTCAGTTATCCTCTTGAAACTTACTGTTTTTTATGAACCTTTAATGGAAGCACTAAAGTTTTACAACAGTAGTTTGGAATATCTTTCTGAAGATAGCCTAAATGGTATTTAAGGAAAAAAATATTTTATTGTTAGCTAAAGATAACTGAAGAAAAAAAAACACATGGAGGATTTCATACACTAATCAGTTATGAGTCAAATGGATTAAAGTGGATATTTGGATGCTAAAGAAATATTGAGCAAGTTTAACAGGTGATTCTGAGTTTCCATTTTAACAGAGCATGCAAATGAGCTGTGACGTTTACTTGCATATAACCAACAAGGCACTAACAGACACAATGAACAAATTATTATATCAGTTCAAAATGTTTCCTCTCTCCCATTTTCTTCCTCCTCAAAAAGACGTGACACAGATCCCCCTTCATTTTCTTATTAATTCTTTAAAACAATGGACAGAATTAATAAAATGTGGCTTACAGTGAATAGAGTGTTACCTGAACAATTTGGGTCAAAAAATATTTGCAGCTGATAACATGAGTGATAACTGATAAGCTACGTGAGAACAACTCAATGATGCACATTTCAGCAACTTACATATTTCTTGATTCTACATTTTCTCTTTGGATAGACAACTGGTTTCAACTTTGCAAGAACGGATTGCAAACTACATGCAGAAGGCTGTTGCTCAACGACTCTCTGACCAATGCTTAGAAATTTAATAAGTTTATCCGAATTCCTAAAAAGATGGTTGCATCTTTTGTGGTCCACCAAGTATACAAGCAAAGCAGAGTGGTTATAATTGCTGGTAATTACTTTCAGAGATTTCGTACATAAGCGCGTTTCATTTACAAGTAGGACACTTCCTTCAAGAAAAATGAAGTGATGAAGAAAACAGGTACATTTTTAAAATTCTTCAGGTTTCAACAATATATAACCGGTGTCCACAGCAATTATACATTCATATGAAACTCTTTTCAGGCAGCAGAAGAAAAGAACAATAGAAACGATTTTTTTTTTTAACTAACATTTTCTAAAGAAACAAGTTACAGTTAAAGCAAAAAAGGGAAGGAAATCCAGCTTACCTGGTCTGCAGCGGCTTGTAAGGTGACATGATCTCCCCACTCTCCCAATCTAAAGCATATCAAGAATTTACACTAAGATAAAGATTCATAAACAATAACACATACAGTAATTATATTGCCAATAATTCGGACTCTTACTTCTTCATTTTCTTCAGATAATCTTTGTACCGCATGGGGACATAACTTTCATACAACTTCCTGAAACGTTTTAGCTGAAAAATAAACCAAGAGACCCATTTGAAACCATTAGAAGACAAAGATTTATACATACAACAACCATAACTTAGCCTTTGTCCACTACACGGAGTAACTATATGGACCTCACCTTCGTGATCTGTCAATACTCATATTTTCATTAAGACAATAGGAAATAAGGCATGTTGTTGATACAAATTACCTCGAGGAAATCATACCTAATTAAAGACATCGACAAGGGTAACATGAGTCACATAAAAAGACAACACAGAGTAGAAACAAAAGGGAGTGCACCCACTGTAACCCAAAAAAATAATGAACAAAAGGAGCATTTGTCACAGAGTATAACAAAAACGTCATATTGCACCTACTATAAATATTTTTAAAAAAGAACATAAAACCATCTGCAGATCTGTATGAAGCACAGATCAATTTATTCTATAATGGCACTATCGACAGTAAGTTGTGATGTATGTGTAAGAAGTCACTGATATGTACCTGCTTGACCACCTTCTTTCTCACATACTTATGATAATCTGGGTTCCGAAATAACTGGTCAGCAAGTGCTCGAAACTGTCACTCAAATAGGTAGAACAATGCAAACAAAGTCATAGATAATATGTGTGCAAACTAATTGAATCTTTAAGTAACATTCATTAGCAACAAAGCATCATATGTATCCAAAGGACTAGTTTCCCAGAAAGAAATGAATACTGACCTGGCAATTCCCATCACCCTCAATTTGCAATTCAGCCAAACCATAAGTTGCCAACCTGAATATAATGAGTCTTCAATAGTTGAACGAATAGACTCTGTGAATTTAAACAAACAACAGAAATCTTTATTACACATCCCCTTGTCACCTACCATTGCTTTTACTCATATTGGAGAACAGATTTTTACTTTAAAGACAATGCAACATTCAGGAATCAACAGACAACAGCAGGACTTAGCGGCAAAACTTGGAGGATGGAAGATTGATGACAGCTTAAGCTTAACTGGTGCAGTCAGTAATATAACCTAACTGATTGAATCTAAGGTTCTGGACCAAGCATCTAAAAGAATATTCCACATCCTGCCTCATAAATGCTACTGAAAATGAGAAATCAAAGAAATTTTCCAAACAACCCCACAAAAACCTTAAGGATTCTCAAATCAGATGCTTTTACATGAAGCTTGTATCTTTGTTGGACCTTCTGGGACTGATGGCAAGTTCATAAAATATTCCATATGGTGCAGTAAATATTCCAAAGGGAAAAAGGTATTGAAATCAATTCACAATACACAATCCCTAAAGCATTTCACACTGCTTAAGTTGCTGAACCATGCATGGAATGAACTGTTAGCCTGCACGACTCAACCACAATGGAAAAGGAACAATACTAAAATCTCCAACATTAGATGAATTCCGGGAATAAAAACTAAACCTCTCAGAAAGCCTCTCATGGTCAAATGTTGCATCATTGGCATCAGGAATTTCAGTGATAACCCTGGGAGTGTGCTGCCAATACAATGATTTCGTAAGTATACAAGTGCAAGAATTACAGATATCATCTTATTGATGATATAGAACTTGTTTATGAAAACTTCTAGCACATGTAAGCGTGACACAGGTAATATTTTTAGATAAACAACATATCAACAAAATAGAATTCTTTTTTGAAAACTCGAAATTAGGACCACGAAAGTAACCAACAGGTTTGGGGCTAAATAAAGCTTCATCTGAAATATGAGAGCAGGAAGAATTATCTATTCTCTCCTTAAGCAATACTTCTTTCCCTAAATAATACACCTTTTTGCAAAACTTTTTATATATAATGCAAGCTTCCTCCCCCTACCAAACAAATTAATATTTCTATTTTTAATATATATAATGCATTTTCTGATATTTCTCCTCCAGCCTAAGTTTGAAGATCGATCTCATTATTCAACTAGTCTAGTGCATCCATTAGTCTTTATTGAATACATTTCATATGTTGTAGTCGATTCTTACGTATTCATACATTAAACGATATGTTCTCTCTCTAGATTCCCTCAAACTGACAAACTGACACTTCGAAAACACCATTTCCACACCATATATAATAACTGAACATAAGAACTGGAGCAGATTGCACGGTGTGAACTAACAGGAGAACACTTAACCATTCAACATCCAAGAAGATCACACTTGCATTCAAGTAAAGGATGATCATCTGAATTGTACACATTAAGGATATAAAAGAATAGGGAAAAGGATAAACGTTATCATTTGCAAATATCAAGAATAAGAACATTAATTCAAGTAAGAACTATTCACAGAAGAACAACCCAAATGAATTGAAATCAAAAGGGTGGATAAGATTAAGGATGTTCATCGATCATACAGGAATCGAGTCCAAGTGTGAAAGTCTCCTGCCAAGCGTATGCGGCCCATTCACTGAAGTCTCATCCGCAGCCAAAATCTTGGCAATAGCATGATCATCCTCTGTGTCATCATCCTCATCATTATTGTGTGAGCTGCTATTCAAGCTGGAGCTGGAGCTGGACGAGAGAGAATTCGGAGCACCAAAATGATACTGTGGATACTCCAGTTGCTGATGCTGTTCTTCCTTGCTCATCATCAAACAATCACAAATCAACTCGAAAGCTGCAAAACACAGTGTACAGAGACGATTACCAAGACTCATAAAAGAACAAATCAACGGGAAGGACAAACCAACAAACAAAATAGAAACCAAATTCCTTCAGGGAAAAACCCATCAAAATCGAATCTTTCTGGTTCCTTCGTTTGGACATCAGATGGTAGACAAGGAAAAGAATCATCCCACTTGAAAATATCAAAAGCAAAATATAAAACATTTACCTAAAAGGCTTGTTTTTTGAGGAGATGCAGCATTGATATTTGAAACCCAACAAGAATTTACTGTACAAGATTGGTAATTACACAAAGGGATGAATATGATTCAGAAGCAATGATAAGAATAAACAAGTTAATAAGATTTTGAGTATTTGGACAGAAGAATAGTAAAATTTGCAAGTTTTGGAGTTTGGTTTAATGTTGAATAATATAAGGCTTTTCTTGAAGCAGCCTTCGTCCCTACTACATCAAGTCATCTAAAATCTAACACAAGGGATGACTTTCTGGATACTGCACACTTCCTGCAGCCTTTAGTTTGCATATTCATCAATTATAATAATCAGCTCCTAGGTACACCTTACAAATTAGGTTGTATAACACGCGTCCCAACTAGATAAAATTCACTTATTTACGAAACTATGTCATTGACAAGATAAACAAGCGCCATTTAAATCCTCTAATATGCGCGACTTTTGGATTTCAAATCCCCATAACCGTCATTTTCTCCTAATTTCTGGCCACTGGAATTGTTGAGCGCCCTTATTTTTTCATTTGAGCGCCCTCCGAAAGATGGATATGCCCTTGCACATAAAGGTATGTTTTTTTTTTTCAAAAAAAAGGGAAGGGCGAGGGATGAATGCACCAGCTGTTAACGGAACGGCTGGCGCAGGAGAAACACGCCACCCCTCGTGGAATAAACTCGCCTCCCTGTAAAGGGACAGGGAGGCGAGACAACTTTCGCCTTAGGCGAAGGAGGTGGCGCCAGATTTGGCGCCACCTTTGTTCGGGTTAGCGAGCGAGGCGAAACAACCTTCGCCTTAGGCGAAGGAGGTGGCGCCAGATTTGGCGCCACCCAAACGGGCGCCACCCATTTTTTTTTTAATTTAATCAATTTTTTTTAATATATTTAATTAACATCATTTATTTATTTAAATTATTAGTTTAATAAATTTATTTAATTCATGCATTTATTTTATTAATTAATTTATTTTATTTAAGTATTTGTTTGGTAGTTTAATATTTGTTTAAAAAATTTATGTTAATTGGTTTAGTTAAATGGATAATCTATCTTAATAATTAGGGTTTATGATATTGGTTTATAAAAAATATTAAATTTAAATATTTTGAGAATATTTTTTAATTACGTATTTTGTTCATAGGTTGTAGTTGTTATATTAAATGAGTTATTTTTTTATTAATTATGTGTTTAGATTGTTATATGTTTAAATTATGTTAATTACGTAGTATGTTCGTATGAAATAGTTTGTTTCTTGTTAAATGGGTGTTTAGGTAGTATGTTAATGGGTTTAGGGTTTAGGTGCTACGGTTTAGGGTTTTTGTTAAAATAATGAATTTTTTTTAATAATGTATTTAGTTTGTTATTAGTATATATTAATTATCTTTAAAGTATAAGATCATTATATCGGATTATATATTTTATTTTTGCTTATAATGAGTTATTTGTGGTTTAATATTATTAGAGTGAATTTAAGTTATGATATAATTCATTTTTAATGTGTGTGGGATAGGTTTGATCAGGGGGATGAGCAGGATTATAGTTCGTCTTTTGCTACAGACGAGACTTTTGCCATGAAGCCTGAAACTATTGCATATGCGAAGGGTATTGCGAATATCTACAACATGGAGTTAAATGTATCCTCGCACAAGGGTAATAGTACTATATTCCTTTGTCATAAAGGAGGCCGGTACCAAGGTCAACAGGTGGATGAAAACATGCGCGCTCGACTCAATACAAAGACATAGATGACCGGATGCCTGTTTCGGGTTACTATTTACAAAATATATGATAGGTAGGCGATCCGTGTATATCTTGGTCCGTGGAATATGTACAACCATTTATTGAAAGATCCGCCTCGAGTCAGGAGGCCACTGAGTGCAGAAGTGAAAGAGATTATTCAGGAGTAATCTAAAGTTGGGACTAAGGCAGTTCATATTTTACGAGCGATGTGGACACAATTTCCTGATGAAAAGGTTACCTCCAGAGAAGTCTACAACTACAGAAATCAATTGCGTAAGGAGGGGTTTTCAATTCTAGATAACATGGCTTCCATGGACGTCGTGAGAATGGTGTTAGAAGTCGCAGAATAACACAAATACATAATCTTTACGGAGTGCGATGAAGAGACATAGAGGTTATCCCATGTGTTTTTCGTTCATCCGGATTCTTTGTTGCTGTTGCGGACGTATTCTTGGGTTGTTTGTATAGATTTCACATACAACACAAACAAATATAAAACGCCTCTTGTGGAGTTTGTTGGAATGATCCCTTGCAATCAGATCTTCCTTATAGCATATGCTCTTCTGAGTGATGAGACGGGAGACAGCTACCATTGGGCACTGTGGTAGCTCCGTAACTTGTATGGCGATGATCTGCATCCGAGTGTCATCGTGACTGATCGGGAGCCTGGACTGATGAGGCCTCTTAATGATGTATTTCCATCATCACATCACTTGTTGTGTACGTGGCACGTTTACAGAGATGTTGAAAAAAATGTGAAAAGAATTTTGAATGGAAATTCGAACATAACAAAAAGTTTTACGTACAAGGCCTTTAAAACAATGATCGAAGCTGCGAATCAGGAAGATTACGAAGAAAAAGTGAAGTTTTCGGAGCATAATTGGTCCCAATTTCAACCCATTCTAGAGTATGTCAGGAAGACATGGTTAGTGGTGGCCGACAAGTTTGTGCATGCATGGACGAACACTTATTTGCATCTTGGCAACACCACTACTTGTAGAGTGGAGATCGCACACAAGTTGTTAAAGGAATGGCTCGGCATAGTAAATGCTTCTTTTGAAACGGTCTGGCACAGGGTTAACATGTTACTCGAGACACGGCTTACACAAATAATGTACTAGATTTTGACTTTACATTTTAAAATATGGTTATAATATATATTGTTTGTTTAGTTTGTTTAAATAATTTGTTTTAATTCCTCCACAGGGAGAAATTGCAAGAATCAAGGCAAAAAATAAGAAGACAACACAACAAGTTCCCTTTCTACCAATTAAGATGCAACGTTTCACACTACTGCTTGGATCTATTAAACAATGAGTTGGAAAGGGCACATCAACTCGGAGATGATGTGTTTTGGGAATACAATCATTACCTGAAGCGAACTCATTCGATCCCTTGTGCATGTATTCTGAAGCGTATAATGGAAGACAACGAGATTTTGACTCCAAAATACTTACACCAATTTTGGAGCACACTTGACATTGGTGAGGTTACAGAGAAGGATAGTTCGGATGATGTTCCCCCTCACAGATTGTTGTTCAGGATGTTAGTGGAAGAATTGGACGCTGCTGAGGAGCCGATACAGCGCGAGATCACTGGATTGATGTACAACATACTTCACCCGGGCCAAGCCGGATCCAAACAACCGCGGGTTGGAAAGAGAAACAAGGCTAGGCCGAAGAAAGGAGGCATCTCAAAAAGAAAGTAAGACAAACCAAATGTGTGGGCATACAGGGACGGCAGTAAGGGTGGGACCAATACCACCGGTTCCAGTAAAACAGGTACCAGCCAAGGTACCTCGGGTCAAGGTGGGACGAACACCCACAGTTCCAGTAGAGGCAATACGTCGGGAGCTGAAGATCTTACCAGAGATCCCGATATTAATTTATCTTTCTAAATGTGCGAAATATTATTATCATTTCATTCATATATTTATGTTTCGAGGCGTGCGAGCGCAGGTACATGGACTGGGCTAGGTGGGACGAACACCAGCAGTTCTAGTAGGGGCCATATGTCGGGATCTGAACCCAATGGTGGAATACGATTATATTTTATATTTTTATTAAATTCTGATATGTAATCCAAAAATAATGATATTATTTTACTTGGTTAAAGATGTGATGCAGACAGACTTTTCCAAGTTTAGGCATAAAAATAAGATTCCGCAGATACTCCACAATCATGTTCAGTCATATCTTGATGTCGCTCTTGACGGCAATTGTGGTTTTCGCGTCACTACGAGTTGCATGTTGGGAGGGTAGAATAATCATGTTTTGAGCAGACAGATAGTGTATGATGAGGTTATAAATAACCTGGGCTGTACGGGAACCTTTACGGGTATGACTTGTTTTATTTTGTGAGCGGTTTTGATACACTTGCATCAATGTTGTTTTATTTAAAACTTTCCTTTACTTGTCTTTGTAAGTGGGATAAATTACCTAAAAGTCTAGAGCGTATACGGTGGACTGGTATAAGTGATGGTCACTGGATGTCGATAGAGAACTTTTATCCTATTGCTACATATTTATATGCTGTTGTGTACTACTTCAGAACAAACAGTGCTGTAAATCTAAACATCACAAGTTGGACTATGCTACCACTGATCACAGGGGGCGGGGCAACAAGACCAGAGTTCTAGATAGTTATTTGCCACCTTACCAGCACTTCATTCGACTTAATCTGCAGGGTGATTTTCTGATTCCACCTATTCACCACATTTGGCATCACGATCGCGATAGTAGTGTTATTGGTTGGGAAGTACCTCTTGGACTCAGAATGCAGCTATGGCGTACTTTGGTCCCACGGGATCTCCCGATAAGACCCACAGGGACATTTTATGATCTCGGGTGATATGTTGTTTTTCATTTGTTTATGCAAATGTGAAATTTCTTATATGTTCCTTCCATCTCTTTTCATTCATTTTTAAATGAAATAAAATTGAAAATCAAAATAAGTCCATAATGTTCAAAAAAACGAAATCGTAACATAAATGTAAAAAACAAAAAATCACTGAGTCGAATGTCATGGGGCTTGACTGTGACAGAAGATGACATCATCCAGGCGAGTATCCCACTCCTCACAAAGACCCAGATCGAGTTTCTTCAAATCTTCGATGCAAACTCGAGTCAACCTCTCTATCTCACGCATCCACTACAAATATTAAATAAAACCATATTAAACCCTTCAAGATAGTACGTGTGTTGTTAAAATAAAATTAGTGAGTGTTGAACTTACGTAAGTGGTGCAGTATTTAGCTGGGATGCGTTACGTAGACGGGACGGACGTCGGCAGTAGGAATGGATGTGAATGACTCCTATACCAGTCGAGGTAATCTACAGCTGCCTGTCTTACCTCAGTAGACGATACCGGGATACGATGACTGAGGCTGATGCACTCTGACTCCGAAATATAACCCAACAGTTACAGGTCTCGGCACTCAGACAATCAATAAAATACTTGTGCGCATTTTTCCCGCGAAACTGAGTGACCGGCATGAGCGGCGCACGAGGTATAGACTGCACGTAACCGAGCTGGCATAGCACTCTTTCCGGCCCATATGGCTCCTGGAAGTCGTGGTACATAATCCACCCACTAAAGATGGTCCTTGGATATGCAGCTGCCTGTTTGCGACCGAATGGCTCCCA